AATTGCCCTGTTGCCCCCCCCTGGATCCGCCACTGGTGATCATCCTGCACTGAGCATCTATATGCATTTCAAATCTTTGCACAACCCAGCAGCAGTTCCAAAGCAAAAAAATATATATTTTTACAAAGAAAAGTTATGAAACATAACAACAAAAAATATGTTCTAAAAACATTAAATCAACAAACAAACTTTGATTTTCAGTCAGCATCTGTGACTCTAAAGTCCAGCAGGATAACGGCTGCTGTAACAATCATTAGCGACTAGTAATTGACTATGAAAACTAAAAAGTTACATTCATCACCTCGATTCAAAAAATGACAGCTGGACTCTCTTTTATGCAGCACCCCCATTACCATAAACTACCTTTTTTTTTTATTAAAGTAGAACTAAACTCTCAATTACAATGAATATTTTTGCAGTCCTTGCCCCCAATAGGTGGATTGTTGGGTCTATTTTACAAAGATATCTATTTGTAAATATGAAGCATTATTCATTAAAAACTTACCTTGGTGCACACTACTCCTAAAACTTCCTTCCACGGGCATGTGTGCTTAGTTTACGAATTTGTCATGTTTAGTTTACTAATTTATATTGAGATTGTAGTCCATCGCAGGAGTGGTGGCTACTTTGAAACACACACGGGGACCAAAAGTAGTCACCCTCCAGAAGGAAGGACTGTGTCAGCACCAAATTGGATGATTGATTTGCAGCTGCATGACGCACAAATAAGAAACATTTTTGTTAATAGGGTACTTAAATGTATTTTTAAGATTTAACTTCCGAGTTTAGTGTCACTTTAGGAGCCGACTGTCATCTGCGCTCTGGGATTGCCCGAAGCCTCCTGGGATACACGAGTATGCCAAACAGGCTGCAACTGGGGGCTATGTCATTTTCAACTACACAAGTAAGGCGGGGAACCGTAAATGATTTACAAAAAACAAGCAATTTTGTAACACAAGGGGTTAAAAAGTAATTCAGAGGAGAGAGAAGAATGAGGGCAAAGTTCTATAAGCACATTATATATAGATATATAGATATATACATAAGCATGCATACTAAAAAAACACATTTGATTAGGGATGTTTAGAGTGAGGACAGGAGTGTGTGCACAGGATGATGGCATGGAGGGGTTCAGTGTCATGACACACTCACCAGACATAATGGCAGTGATCAGTCCCCGGGTCAGTCCAGGCAGGGATGGAGGCTGGGAAGGGGAGCACACTGACCCTCCTCCATACACATGGCTCCTATTATGTGCACACTTCCTGTTTACTTCCCCAATGAGAGCTCATAGAGGGAGACTTCTCACTGCTTATGTCCTATCACCAGTCACTGCACAAACATTGTTACATGTATGTGTCACCAGATGTAAAGTGCAACAGGGGACACCTGTGTGCCATCATTGAAAATTATTCTCCATGCTGTCAGGGTCCGCACGGTCTTAGGCTTTGTGTCTAGCCTTTTACGGGAAAGGTCATTTGAGACCAGATGTGATTTGAATATTTTCTATCGCCTTTTACCTAGTAAGTACTGCCGGCAAAGTGATATGGCGCCTGCACTGCTGGAGCGCTGTAAGGCGAGCTCCAGTCAGTATAGATAGAATGCTTGTGGATAACGCCGTCTGTGCTGCCCCCTGGTGGGTGAAGGGCGGCGGAGTAGCGCACAGGAACTGCTTTCAGTCCATGGCTGACACGGAAGAGGAAAACTTGCAGAGCCAAGTAAGTGGAAGGCATGGCGGAGTGTGCAGCCTGTCATTATACTGACTTCTAACAGCAGAGCCATATCCAGGACTGCTATGTCTGATTCTGTGTGATACACAACTGACGTGTTTGATCCCATGTGCTTTTAGTCACATGTATGTTTTAATAAAATAGAAAGAGCATTTGTTATATATTTCATTAGTTTTAAAGGAAACCTGCAATGACATAAAGTTGGGTGTTGTTATTGCTGCCGATTGCCTTTTGTGAATTTTGGTTGCTTGGCTTGAGTCCAATTGGCCAATACACAAAGGGCTCATTCACACTGATGAGAATCTGCCATTCTTAAAGTAGAGCTATGGTGTAAGTGTTTTTCCCCATAGTTCTCCTAAAGGCCGTGACACACTGCACGCAAAGCTGGGCTATACCGACGCGCTGGTTTATTCGCGCGAGCTAATTGTTCATCTCGGCACGCTCAGCTCTGCGAGCTCTCGCAAGCTGAGGTGCCGAGAAGAAAGTGACATGACACACTGCTCGCAAAGGCAGCGCGCCACCGCTCCGCGCTGCTTCGCGTGCAGTGTGTCACGGCCTTATGGGTCACGGGAGGACATATACTAGCGTCCTCCCGTGACCCAAAGCTATATAGCGAGCTACAGCTTGCGGTATACTGAGACCGCCTCAGCCGGGACGGATCCCGACATTACTGTTGAAATCCACCCAGCTGTGTGAGTGACATCTGGCTCTGCCTAATTAGAGGCAGAGCCAGCTGTGCCCGCCCCCTCCCCGTCCGTTCCTCCAATCAGAGCTGTAGGGGAGGGGAGAATCCTTGCGGGGAGCCGTGACTGACAGTTATTGCTCTCTGCAGGGAGATGATTGAGAAGTGAGCGAGTGACGTTATGTGTTCGCTCACTTCCCGATCTATTGAGCCGACGTGTGACAGTTTAATTATCACAGGCCGGCTTGAACTATGAGGTTGAGTGTAAATCACTCACCTCATAATTCTCCTTTAATGATGGGGAACCTAGCTAGCCCAGAGGTGGGCAACTCCAGCCCTCCAGCTGTGCTTTAACTACAAATGCTAACATGCCTCTGGGAATTATGCCTGTAACTGTCAGTCTTGCAATGCCTCATGGGACTTGTAGTTCCACAACAGTTGGAGGGCCGGAGTTGCCCAACCCTGACCTAGCTCCATGCACACATTGGGGGGAATTCATAAAAAGTATCTGAGACAAACCATGTCTGAACTGGAGCGCAGCCAATCAGCTATTACATTTTCATTTTATAAGCTGTGTGGGAAAAATGAAAGACAGACACTGATTGCTTTCTACTTGCAATGGCACCAGTTGAGACAAGTTTTAATTTGACACAGACACTTTAAGGGGAATTTATCAACACTGGAGCAGACTAAATATGGAGCAGCTGTGCATGGCAACCAATCAGCGTATCTGTCTCATTTTCAAATCTTATCTGAACAAACTGAAAAGAGAAGCTAATTGGTCGCCACGGGCAACTGCTCCAGATTGTGTCTGCTCTAATTTTTTAAAATTCCCCTCTGAATATTTAATTCCTACCATTGCATGCAAACAGCCATGGCCAGGTGTGCACACTACACAAATCATTGGCCGGAGCCGGCACTGGTATAAGCGCTTACATGCCAGTAGGGCCTCTGACCAGACCTAGACGCAGACGGTTAGCATCCAGGGCCGGTAGTTCTCACCACACACAGACTGGAAGCAGCTAATCACCCTAGTTTGTGAGTGTGCCATGATGCCTTTCTACTGTTCTTCTGACCAGACCTAGACGCAGACGGTTAGCATCCAGGGCCGGTAGTTCTCACCACACACAGACTGGAAGCAGCTAATCACCCTAGTTTGTGAGTGTGCCATGATGCCTTTCTACTGTTCTTCTGACCAGACCTAGACGCAGACGGTTAGCATCCAGGGCCGGTAGTTCTCACCACACACAGACTGGAAGCAGCTAATCACCCTAGTTTGTGAGTGTGCCATGATGCCTTTCTACTGTTCTTCTGACCAGACCTAGACGCAGACGGTTAGCATCCAGGGCCGGTAGTTCTCACCACACACAGACTGGAAGCAGCTAATCACCCTAGTTTGTGAGTGTGCCATGATGCCTTTCTACTGTTCTTCTGACCAGACCTAGACGCAGACGGTTAGCATCCAGGGCCGGTAGTTCTCACCACACACAGACTGGAAGCAGCTAATCACCCTAGTTTGTGAGTGTGCCATGATGCCTTTCTACTGTTCTTCTGACCAGACCTAGACGCAGACGGTTAGCATCCAGGGCCGGTAGTTCTCACCACACACAGACTGGAAGCAGCTAATCACCCTAGTTTGTGAGTGTGCCATGATGCCTTTCTACTGTTCTTCTGACCAGACCTAGACGCAGACGGTTAGCATCCAGGGCCGGTAGTTCTCACCACACACAGACTGGAAGCAGCTAATCACCCTAGTTTGTGAGTGTGCCATGATGCCTTTCTACTGTTCTTCTGACCAGACCTAGACGCAGACGGTTAGCATCCAGGGCCGGTAGTTCTCACCACACACAGACTGGAAGCAGCTAATCATCCTGTTTCAATGCGGCCACAGCACAGAGTGCTTTTGCGTCCAGATAAATAGTTCAGCCATATATGAACAAATGGAGACTCAATATATTGTGTGAATATTCATATCAGCTATCCAAGCATGTGATAGAACATTCCGGTTCACTTTGAATATCCTGTCATGTGCAGAGAAAATGAGTAAACAGGACTTTGCTTTTCATACCTTTTGAATAACTGAAATGAATATTTGCACAAGTTATTGTATGTGAAAATTCTCAGCTCCTTGACTAAGTCAGCCTCAGTGACGCTTTTTATGAAAGTGAACCTCTAATGGCCCATGTAGGCATTAGGTTTACTTTATATTGCAGTACATACTCCCCTTTCCTCACCGCACAGCTGATGGACATATCTGGTACATCCAGTTGGTGATTGGCCCCGTGCTGTCACATGGGCCCCCGTGTAAGCTCCTTCTGGAAGTTGGACTTTATCTTACACAGGGTTCATCCATGGCTGATAGGAGCTGTTGGGGTGTGAAAGAAGGGTAAGACCTGCTGAGAATGGAGGGAATAAAAGGAACCTGTTGCTTTGTTTGCATGAGTAAAGGTGCCCATACACCTTACGACCATCACAAGACTTTTGTCTTGCGATGGTCGTAAGCTTATTGAAAGCTCGTACGATCTGCCCATCCAGATTTCCCGCGATTCTCGCACGAGAATCGTACAGTGTATGGGCACCTTTAAGCACATGCTTCACCTTTTGGTAGGTGTTACCCTTTAATAAATGCAGCAGCCCAGCTGGTCCTATATTACTCTTTTTCCTTGATTAGCAATCTTCACTGTGCTGCCCACTTGGGAGTTGTACAGCCTTGCATCTGTAAACCACTTATAATTGGACCAGAATGAGCTCCAAACACATGTTCCAGAACTGTATTACGTGTTTTTGGGGCTAATTCTGGTTCAACTACATGTAGATTCCTCAAGCCAAGTTACCTCTTTACTGGGAAGGCCTCTGCTTTGTAGAAACCTGCCAAACAAAGACATTTGGCCCCAGTGGCGTCACTAGGGGGGTGCGGCCCACTCCCGATGACACCAAAATGACTGACAGTCATTTTGGTGTCACCCCCTCTGAAAAGTCGTGCACTCGGTCATGGACCGAGACAGTTGCACAAGAGAGGAGGGGACCCAGCGGCATACCTTATCCCGTCGGGTGAACGTCCCCTCCTCTCTCTGCCAGCATCCATCACCAAGATTGCCGCGCATGTGCGTGGCATCATTGTGCACGTGCTTGATGACGTCAAGGCAGGAGGTCACCCAGTACCCGATCCGGGTGACACACGGCCTCTGGACACCCCCTGTTTGGGCCTATTAAATTCAAAACAATAACCACTTACAAAGCCATCCACAACTCTGCCCCCAACCTGGTCTCAAAGTATCACCCTAACCGTCCACTCCTCCCAAGACCTACTGCTGTCTAGCTACCTAATCAACTCCTCCCATGCTCGCCTCCAGGACTTCACTAGAGTCTTTCCCATCCTTTGGAACTCCCTACCCCAACCTGCCCGGCTATCTCCTACTCTGTCTGCCTGGCGATACCTGTAGACACATCTCTTCAGGGTAGCCTATTCCTCCTCAACCTATCCACTGAACTATTACGTTCTCAAACAATTCATCCCCACACAGCTACCACCTCTTCTATACCTTTTAGATTGTAAGCACATCCCTTCTTACCATCTTGTCTCGATTTTGTATTGTAACTGTAATGTCTTCCTTATATTGTAAAGCACTGCGCAAACTATAAAAATCCTGTAGAGTAATAATATTAAATAAACTGGACCCAGCGCCTTGTCTCTGCTTCTACTGGGATTACTTCTGTAAACATCCATGTTGGGTTTACTTTAGCCTGGGTATAAATGTTCCATGCCCCTATTCATTTCTACTGAGAGAGGCATAATCTACAGGACCTTTGGAGGGCACGATGGGTACGGCTCCTCATAGGTATAATATTTGGGGCAGTATTGCGATGCGCAGGCTGAAGAGGGCCCAGCGAAGATGTTTTGTGTAGCAAGGCTTTGCAGCTTCTGATGCGGCCGCACAGTAAATGATCAAGGATCAGGGTGGGTATAAGGCCAGGGGATTGTTGAAATCACTGAAAAAATTAGGGAATTGACCCTTGAGGAGGTTTAGGAGTTGAAAGGGCACAGAATCTATATATTGTTGCATTAGTCAATGGAGTCCTGTGCAGATGTTGGGCTCGAATAGCACAACTTCTGATACCACCCCTGCAGGTATGCAGTCACTAAAGAGTTAAGGTACAACTCCTGATCCGCATATTTGTGCTGGGTTTGTGACAAAAAATGTAAACTAGAGCATTAGCACAACAACCATGAATCTAGTACCCAGGACTTCTGATATGCATACTTGCATATTGGTGATTCTACATGTTTGGGGTGCAGTTTTGTTAAAGTGGATCAACAGTCATACAACCCCATCCTTCAAACTGTACTAGTCAGTTGTGGATGATGTATATTTTGCAGCCACTATATTATGGGATCAGGCTATCATTGGGAAGCTCTTCCCTTCTGCCATCAATAGACCTCCCTTCTGCCATCAATGTAATTTGGTGATCATAGTCCTGAGTGGGTGGCAAATGCATCTGAAGATGTTAAACACATATGAGATAATCTAAGAGACTAGAAGGATAGGGGTGCCCAAGTACTTTCACATGTTCAAAAGTGCTCTGCTTCTTTTCATCAAGAATGATATATGTTTTAGGTAGTTGTCTTTTAAATAACTGCTTTGTCATATTAAACTGTGCCAAATAAATTCTATTAAACAGTACAAATGTAGATTTTAAGGATAGTTCCATTTAAAAGCGGGCCTATTCTCATATGTTAGCAGACTTGCTGGGGAAGATGAGGATAAATAGTAATTTAGGTTTTGAATAGTTTCTTTTCCTAGAGAGAGTTCTGCTTTTGGTTCCCACCAGTGCCACTTACAGCACTGTAGTAAATCTGGAGCAGCATTTTCCCAAAGGAAAGATATATTTTAGATCTTCTATTACACTTTATCTCAATAATAGGTCCATGTTAATGACACTTTTTTCCCCCCTTTTTGTTTTTAGATTGATGAGATTGAAGCTTTATCTTCCATCTATGGTGATGATTGGTGTGTAATCGATGAAGCCGCAAGAATATTTTGCATAAAAATCTCCAACTCGCTTGATCAACCAGAATGGACCCTTTGTCTGCAGGTAACAAGGGAAAGAATAAGTTGCTGTGCGTCATAGATTTACTTTATGTAATGTGGAAATATAAAATTCCGTTCCCAGGTCCAACACATGAATATTTATTAAGTAAATGTAGTTCAGTAACCTCTAGCAACCAATAAGTCCAGCAAGTTTTAATATAAAAATCTTTACCCCGATACTTGGGGCATCTATCTACCAGTTGTACCTTCAATGTGGCTGCCCGCTAAGGGCCTGGACTCTCCAAAACTTCTCCAAACTTGAATTCCTGAAGAGGCGCATGAGGTGTGAAACGCGTTAAATTGTGAACCACTCCAACAACTAAGAGGCTGCATTTGATGTTGAAGACATTTGGGACATCTATCTTTGACTGTTTTTTCCACTTAGTTCCTTTTCCTTGGAGTGATATTTGGAGATCTTTTGTTACATATTCTGATGGAAGCTTTCGCTATGTTAATATCAATCATGTTTCTGATGCAATCTTATGGGGTGTTTTTTATTCAACAATTTTTAACACATTTTGATCAAATAAAGGAATGTTTTTATGCAAATATCTTTTGTAATTATTCTTGGCTATGTCACAAGGCACCTAAAAAGCCCCATTTATCCCTTAGTTTTTTTTAAAATGTGAATATATATATAGCAACTCAGTTCCAGTGAACCATTTAAAAAGAGAAGGCAAGCATTTGTTGGCTTTACTCCTCTTTTGGGTTATATGAATACATTTCTTAATGTCCTCCCGTGACCCAAAGTCAGAATATAGTGGGCTACTGCCCATTATATGCTGACAGCACAGAGCCGTGCGGCAGCCAGGAAGGGTCCTGACAATATTGTCAGGATCCACCCGGCTGTCTGATTCTGTGCCTCTCTAGATTCAGAACCATCTGTGCCTACCCTCTCCCCTGTCTATTCCTCCAATGAGTGCTGGAGGAACAGAGAGGGGAGGAGGAATCGCTGGGGGGAGTGGTGACTGACAGTCACTTCTCTCTGCAGGGAGGGGACAATGAGCGTTCAGCAGTCACAGGGTGTCCCACACCAGCTCTAACTATTGGAAAGTATATTTTACTTTCCCAATATTTCTCCTTTAAACACACCTTGGAAGAGTCTGTTGCACAGAATGTTTGCTCTATGCCCAGATTCACTGCTTTGTAATATGCCCCTATGTGTTTTATAATTTTAAGCTCTGATTTATTTTCTTATCAGCTGCTCAGTTTGGATGGCCCGGGTTCCTGACAGGTTTATTTTATTGGTGTATTGTGTGACAGAAAGAGACATAGAGCATGAAAAAGTATGCTACAATATTTAAAACGAATAAACTGCATTAATTGTCCTACATGTCTAATGTTGAAACAAATGCACTAATTCCTGTAATTTTCTGCAGGAATAGAAACCGTTGTTTCTTTTCTACATGTCATTTTCTGTTTCTTCTAGGTGATTCTGCCACCAGAATACCCAGCCACCGCACCACCTCTTTATCAGCTAAAGTAAGTTCCACATGCTTGGTTTAATTTGTTATATGGGAGAAAAAGCTGAAACTATTTTAACTTCTGATGTGGTAGAAGTTATTACCACTGCATGGCATTATATGCACTTCTTCCATCAACAGCCCATTCAGCCTGTTCAGAGAAACTTTCCTTGATTTAGATCAGATTTTGAGTTCCTTTTGGGTAATGTTTTCAGACCACCTTTACTTAAAGTGACACTAAAGTCAGGAGTTAAATCTTAAAAAATGCATTCAGAGAGGATTTGAGGATCTACAGCTGAGTGATACACAAATGAGATCCATTTTTGTTAATAGTTGGGGTACTTGAATGCATTTTTAAGATTCAACTCCTTAGTTTAGTGTCACTTTAACCAACGTTCTTCAGTGATGACATTAGGCCTATGGCTTCACACCATTTCCTGGATTTGCACATTTTGGTACCATTTTAAAAGCATTGTATGTCATATGATAAGCCAACAGAAACCTTTTGCATATTTTCCCCCTTTTATTGCACCTAGCCTGCACAGATGCAGCTGCAATGTTTTTTTTACTGATATACTGTAATCTAATTGTTTTATCCTTTTGTACTAGAAGTTGTATTTACCATAAGGCCTCGTTCACACCACATGCAGTGCGTTTGAGGCAGTCCGGAACGCCTGCCTCGCAGGCGTTCCGGCTCACTTTTTTGCCGGGCTGGAGGGGGCGTGGCGGGCCATTGAAGTGAATGGCACCGTAGCCACGCCCTCCGGCCGCAATGCGATCGCCCCCACGGGATCGCAAGGCACATTGTGCCTGCAGTGCGTTCCGGTGCGATCAAAATGCTGCAAGCAGGTTTACGCACCTGTGTGCATTACTCCATTGAAAGCAATATACAGTGGTATCTCGGTTCACGAACTTAATTGGTTCCACGATTCTGGTCGCGAACCGAATTGGTTGTGGACCGAATCACATTTTCCCATAGGGTTCAGTGTAAATGAGGTTAATCTGTTCTTGCCCCTATGAATGCGGTCGCGAACCGATTTTTGGTTGTGAACTGAATCACATTTTCCCATAGGGTTCAATGTAAATCAGGTTTATCCGTTCTGAACCATATAAAAAAAAAAAATTTAACCACAAGTTTCTTTTTACCACCATTCTTGCTCTGCACATTCATTTCACCTTCATTAGTGCTCTTCACATTCTTGTCCCCTTCATTTTATTACGCTGCACTTTCTTTTTACCACCATTCTTGGTCTGCACATCCTTGTCCCCTTCAATACTGCTCTGCACATTCTTGTCACCTTCATTAACGCTCTGCACATTCTTGTCACCTTCAATAACGCTCTGCACATTCTTGTCACCTTCATTAACGATCTGCACATTCTTGTCACCTTCATTAATGCTCTGCGCTTTCTTTTTCCCACCATGCTTGCTCTGCACATTCTTAAGAGCCATGCTGGATTGAATACAGTAATACTGTACAGTACTGTGCTACAAAGCACACAAAAAAGCTTCACAGTCAGTGTCCACAGCCCTCTCTGCGACCGCAATCTCGGGTACAGGAAGCCTTTCTTTAATTTGTATGTTTTTAAATGTATTATTTTTATCTATTTTCTCTGACAACCCAAATTTGAGATTGTATGGCTACACTAAATATAAACTATGGTCCAGTATGTTACTTTTGTCTTACAGGTCAGGAGGGAGCTACATTACTTCACTGTGATTCTTCATACATAGACCAAAATTCTTGTATCATAGCATAAAATAAATAATGTTTTAAGGCAGAGTGGCTTGGATTTATTTATTCAGCAGAATATTTAGAAATATGTGTGTAATATTTTTATATAATGAAAATATTAATGTCTAGATGTATAGTAATATTTTCTTAATGGTGTATTTGCAGTGCTCCATGGCTCAGGTGTGAAGATCGGCTGACATTGTCAAATTACCTTGAAGACATTTACCTGTGAGTGCCAGAAGCATGTATGCTTATTATACGCTGTAGGATTCATTCTCATCCATACACAGCTATAGGTTGCTCCATAAGGAAATAACAGATACTTGTCATTATGTTATTTACATAAAAATGATAATAAATATAACCGGGCAGATATTGAATTATTACATGTGGGAGTCTCATCCATCATAAATAAATCAGGCAGGTGTTTCCTGTGTCTCTGCACTCACCATGTCTAGTTTCTGATTTATTTTTCTTTCCCTAGTGGTCAGGTATCAGAGACATCCCTCCCCCAGGTCTGATGCAGCAGAGCAGTGGATCCTGTGCTCCAGAAGGGGAGAGACTTCAAGAGGCATGCACCGATACAGTTTTTTTGGTATCGAGTATGAGTACTGATATTTTTTTTTTCTGTACCCAGTGATACCAGAAGTCTCATTAAGGAAGCTGGACAGCGTGTAATGACTCATTAGCCGCGAAGCCAACTCCATGCTTCCTCGTCACCAGGTGACGAGGAAGCATGGAGTTGGCTTTCTGGCAAATCAGCAAGCCGGGAGGCTGGTAATGACTCACCACCTGGCTTCCTAACTGACCACTTCTCCAACCAATCAGCAATCCGGGCAGTGAGTCATTACACTCCGCCTTGCTTTCTGATTGGCCGGGAAGACGGCTCCATGCTCCCTCGATACCGAGTGCATCGGTATCGGCGCATCCCTAAGTTTCAGGTACAGGAGTTGCAAGGTGCCATGAAGTGACACAGTGGTGCCCACTGCTTCATAGAAGGCATTGATCCATGGAACCAATGCCATTCTGGGTGGTGGGCTCTAGCACATGTTGAAATCATGGAGTAGGGGACAGCGTGTGGGTGCCCTTTACCCCTCTTTCCACTCTTAAGGAGATCTATGACTGTTACATAGGTCCAGCTATGGCCCTTTTCTGACTTGTGTCCTGCAAGCCAAGACTTGGAAAAAAGTTCAAATCAAACTCTCCAGCAATCTGAAAGAAGCCACTAACTCATATACCCCTCCTCAACACCTAACCCCCCAACTCCTATTCCCCTCCTCCGTACCTATCCCCCAACTCCTATACCCCTCCTCCGTACCTATCCTCCAACATCTATAACGCTCCTCTGTACCTATCCTCCAACTTCTATAACCCTCCTATGTACCTGTCCTCCAACTTCTATAACCCTCCACCGTACCTATCCTCCAACTTCTATACCCCTCCTCCACACCTATCCCCCAATTCCTATTCCCCTCCTCCATACATAACCCCCCAACTCTTATACCTGTCCTATGTACCTAACCCCTCAACCGTTGCACCCCCCCGTTGCCCTCTGTAGATCCCTGATATTTCCCCCAAGCCCCTAGCAGTAAAGTGAAAAGAAAAATGATTTAAAAATAATTTAAAAAATAGTATCTTCTGTTGTGGCCTGACAAATTCTGCTGCGGGAGGTGCCATTTATTTCAATGCTACCCCAAATGTGGGAGCTTCTGCATTTAAGCCCAGTTTAGCCGAAATGTGTTGCTTGTACTCCTAGACTTTGAGTTTAACAGCTTTAAACACATTTTGCTCAGACATCGGCAGGAGAAGACATTATTGCTCATCTTCAAGGCTGTTTCATACGTTGCAGCATTGCAGATGCCTCAGCAGGTAGCTTTTTAGCCTGCACAACTACCTGGTTAATTCCATACTTTGTGCACTAAGGTTGAAAACATTGTCAGAAAACACAGACTCTAGGAGAAGACTTTGTAATACCTCAAGTTTTAGTATGGTATGGATTCTTTTCAGGGCTTAGTCCTCGCAGTTGCTAGAGTTCTTCATGGGACAGTCTGGCAAAGGGAAGCTTCAGTGGCCATGGAAGGGATATACTGTACTGCTGTATAGAGTAGACTTCTGTTTTCTCAACTCACTCTCTGAATACATCTTGGAAACCTTTTAGATACCTATATGAAATGTGGTACTATTTTAAACATCGTGAGAAAGTCATTTGTTATCAATGTAATACATTGAGCATGCTTGTTTTGGTTATAGGCAAAATCTTGGTGACAATATACTTTATCATTGGGTGGAGAAGATCAGGGAATTCTTGATAGAGAAATCTAAGACTTCTGATCCAGGTTGGTGAATGGTTAATGTCCTTTGAACAAGTCAGTTTTTGGTGGAGGAATTAAGTTGCAGTTTGAGGCAACTTCAACGCTTCATCTCGCATCTTGTAGGTAGCAACAAGTTCTGAGATTGGAACAATCACAAATTTGTTGAGTATCGCCAGGACATTTTAAGCCAAAGCTAAATCTGAGCCATATTATCATAACCAGGTTCTATGAGACCCGAGGTGTTGTGGTGCAAAAGCCTAAATGTGACCAGAGTTTCTATTAATGCCGTGCTGCAGAATCCAAGAGACATAAGACAAATATGGCATAAAAGCATTGCCATGATGCAAACAGTAGAGTATCATTTTACAAAATGAGAGCTGTCAGGTTACAAAAAAAACCAAAACAGAATAACAACATGTTACCAAATGTGGGTTATTACAAAAACAGAATATTGCCATTTTATGAAAGCAGAATAATTAAATATGTTTGGGAGACTTGCCTTTTAAAGATAGAAAACTGACAATTTTTCCACGTTACTGGGAGACATTCTTTGAAAGGATAGAAAAGAACCGACAAATTAGATCTCCAAAACTGCACTGTTTGGGGCTTTAAGAATGGTATAATCGCAGGAGTTTAAAAAGGAGAGATTTGAAAATAGCAAGACAGGAGCTCACAAATATTTGTAAATACCGTGTAAATAAAATGTGCAAAATACCGAGAAAAAAAAAGAACATTGTATTACTTTACACATAGGCCTCTCTGTGATCTTTCTCTTATTAACATAGCATGATAGGTTGCACAAAGTACAGAGGTGATGTTCAAAGTATAGTAACTATTAGTGGTCACTTGGACTTTGGTGTTGCTGTTGCAATAATTTTTGATTGGTTGTTATTGGTTACTGCCAAAACATATAGTTTCACGTGTATCTTCTTTCTCACATGAATTTATTGTAGAAGCATGTTTTTTACTACAAACTTTTTAATGTAATAATTACTAAAACCATGTCTTTGCAGGTCCAAAGTTAAGAGCTGCAACAGAAGAAGCTGATGATGATGAGATTGCATCCAGTTCCGAGCTATTAAATGAGTTGTTTGCTAACTCAGCAGTTATTGGACATTTTGAAGCACTTGAAGGTACATTCTGATGTCTATTTAGCTAACATTTACTAGTCTTTGACAGAAGGTAGCATCTCTAGACAGGGCAGACATCGCTGGTCAGATGACACGATAGTGGGTTATATGCACTTTGGAGTTTCCCTCTTTTTACTTTGTGTACCCCAGAAGTAACCAGATGCTGGTTGCATTTAGGTGCATTCATACTTAGATAAGGTGATAAAGAAACACATAGAGTTCATGCAGACAGCTTTATTCTGTCATCTCTTATGTTTATTATAGACTTGGGGACAGATGTACAGTAGGCTCACACAGGGATCACTGATCTCTATGCAGTACAACAGCCTTAGAAGCACAAAAGGTAAAATTGTAACACTAGGAATGTAGTCTATATGTAATCTATGATTAAGCCCGGGTGGTGAAACGTGTGTGAATCATTGGAGTGGTAAAGATACTATGGTGGTGTATACCTTGTATTTTGAACTTTACATGGAATTTACAATAATAAAGTTGGATTTTAATTGACCTCGGTTTTGTGCGGCTGATTGGAGAGCTATCACTAGGAATGTAGTACATGTAATTTCATGTACTAAATATGAAGTTCAATATGTTGGCTGTAGCAGTAGACCTCAAAGAATTAGAATAGCAGAACATTTTGGTGCAGATCAGAGCTCCACCTATACCTGATTATATGTTTTGAACATTTTTAGAAAAAGGGAATATGAGTTTTTGCTCTCTTAATGGTATTGAAAGAGAATACAGATCCCAAAAGGGAGCGGGGAGATATGCAACACTTCCTTCTCTGTGTTTCTGCATTGTATGTAAGGCTATTAAGAACCCATCCACATCCCGGGTGCGGAAAAGAGTGTTGGTTGCCAGGGGAGTAGGATAAGTCTTTCTTCTTAATCCTTTTCCCCTTGACAAAATAAGCCGTTAACTTTTGCCGTGCAAATAAATAGCTTTAAAGGAGAACTATGAGGTGAGTGACTTCCACTCATCCTCATAGTTAGAGCCGACGTGTGACAATGAAACTGTCACACGTCGGCTCTATTGATCGGGAAGTGAGCGAACACATACAGTCACTCGCACACTTCACGATCATCTCCCTGCAGAGAGAGCTGACTGTCAGTCACCCCTCCCTACAGGGATTCCCCCCTCCTCTCTCCAGCGCTGACTGGAGGAATGGACGGGGGAGGGGGCGGAGCCTGCTGTCAATCAACCAGCTGGGTGGATCTCGACAGTATTGCCGGGATCCGTCCCGGCTGTGATGCTCTCAGTATATAGTGAGCTATATATTGAGCTTTGGGTCACGGGAGGAGGTTAGTATATGTTCTCCTGTGACCCTAAAGAGAACTATGGGATACAAATTTTACCCCATAGTTTTCTTTTAAGTTTTCATATTTGAGGTTTTGGTGGTTCTTTAACCTCTTGCCGTCCGCCCGTAGTAAAAAAATGGACGGACGGCACTGTTACATCTGCGGGTTGCCGTCTCCAGACGGCAATTTTTTTCTTTTCGCGCGCGCCCCCTAGCGGGCACGCACGGGCAGAAAAGACCCGACCGTTGCACACACCCGTTACCGGGTGTTTCACATATAGGCGATCAGCGGGTCCATAGCCCGCCGATCGCCTATATGTGATCGTTCGCTGCACCATACCCCCAGAGATCCTTGCTGATCTCCGTCCGGGCTGTGAATGCAGAAGTGATGTGTATTACATCACTTCCGCATTCACCTGTCAGTCATCTGGCTGCTATTGCCAGAGAGAAGAAGCTGATAAAGCAGATCTCTGCTTCATCAGCTTCTTTTGGGGTCCACAGGTGATATTAGGGGTCCTAGAGACCCCTAATATCTCCATAAAGAGGACCTGTCAGTGTGCCTTTGCTATTATATAGGGGGATTGTTATCCCCCTATATAATAGCAATAACAATAAGTGCAAAAAAATAAATATAAATAAAAATAAATAAAAGTAACACATAAAAAAGTAAAATAAAATAAAAGTCACATATAAAAAAAGGGGAAAAAAACCCCCCAAAATGTTTAACTCCCCCACCCCCACGTTTACGCGCCTATAAACGTAAATACGCGTCCGGTGCCCCAGCGCGCAAAAATTACAATTGCGCTACACATGTTACATATCGCCGCGAACGTCGCAGTGAGAGCAATCATTTTAGGGCCATCAATCACTGATAACACTAAACTGATGAGCGGTAACAGCTTTTAAAGCGTCGCCTATGGCCAATTTTGGGTATTATCGTTTTTTGAGGTTTCGCGCGCGCACGCAATTTTAAGGCTTGACATGTTTAGTGTCTTTTTACCCGACGTGACCCCATCTTTTATATTTTACCAAAAAATTGGGTAATAATAAATGTTTTATCATTTAATATAGGGGAAACTGTTTTTTTTTTTAAATTTCGGTAATTTTTCCTTAATATAGTAAAAAAATAAAACCCCCAGTGGTGAATAAATACCACCAAAAGAAAGCTCTATCTGTCCCCAAAAAAGGGTATAAAATTCATTTCAGTACAGCGCTGCATGACGGAATAAATGTCAGTTAAAGTACCGCAGCGCTGAATACTGAAAAATGGCCTGGATGGGAAGGGGGTTTAACACCGCGGATGTCAACTGGTTAAGGCTACATTATAGGCCACCATTCTTACTAGAGCCACTACATTTTGTTAATGTCATTTCATATTATTTTATAGAAACTGAAAAAGAGGTGCCAACAATAGTACATGGTGAGCCAATAAGTGAGAGGAGAAGTACTTTCCAGGCACACTTAGCCCCGGTGACAAGTCCTGCTCAGGTTAGTACTCTGAAGTGTATATGACATTACTAATATATGGTCATAGCATGATTTGACTAGTTTTTCCTAAACAAAAAGATACAGTCTTCAAGTGTCACTTGTGTTATTTTACATGCATTCATTCCTTTTAATTCACAAATATTATTACAGTGGTGAGAAATTCTTCTTTAGCTTTGGCTGGATGAAGGAACAATTAAAATGTCTGTCCTTTTTTTTTTCCTTTGCTGTCTTTTGTATCGCCACTTTCTGTTCTGGAGACAACATTGTCACTGTGGCAATAACTAAGATGAAATCTCAAAGTTTCTATTGTGTCCCTTTTTTAGAGTGGTTTCCCCTTTCCCACAACAGTTTCACTGGTACAGGAAGTGAGGGAATATCACCTGAATAGGGCCACAGACTAAAGAAAACAAATCTGAACTGGGTTTAAAAAAAGTCTTCTCTATCCAGAGTAAAAAGAAAAGTTTTAGCTGGAAGTACACCAGCCAGAAAACAGCAATATTTTGGCATGAATATCTCTATGCAATAATATTTCTGATTGGAGATTCATAATATTGCAAAAACTGATACAAATTGGTTCAATAAAACCATTGGAGAACTGAAAAAAAATAGTTACCTTTAGGAATTATGCAAGATAATAAAATGACTTACACTTTAGTGAATTAATGCAATGACATATACATTATGGACACAAACTAGATTATCAGTTGAAAACAGTGCAGATTTTCCTGATAATATATTTGGAGAATTATCATACAACAAAGGAATAATTCTAAGGGACAGAAAACTGGCGGTTTTCGGAGAGTGGTGATTACTGATTCCTACTCTGAATGGTCTGAAGTTGTTAGTGGTGTAATCATGTTCCTCCGGCGCTAACAGCCAACAGCTATCCCACTTTTCAATTAGACTGACGCAGGGGTGCCGCTCCTCCTCAGATCGGAAAGCTCTCATCCATACATGTAAAAAAACACAAAAACAGAGTGCCCACCCAGTGCAGCACTGATTATTTATTACATTGGCTTAAGGCTCCTCACAAGCGTAACAACATATAAAACTTGTCAATTCTAAGATTAGGAAGTATATCTATATGAGAAATTCAGATTAACTTCCTCAGTCCGAGTTACATGGATGCCGGCATTAGCTGTTAATGTAGAACCTTGAGGTTCTGATGAAAGGGGCATGCCCCAGGAAACACGTCAACCACTACATTCACAGTCCATGTAACTTGTACTGAAGACTGTGGAAGTTCGTCTGGATTTCTCATATAGAGCACTTCCTAATCTTGGAATTGTGTTATATGTCGCTACACTTGTGAGTGGCCTCTTTGTGTTTTTAAGCCAATGTAATAAATAATCAATACTGCACAGGGTGGGCGCTCTGTTTTTGTGTTTTGTTAGTGGTGTAACCCAAGGTTCAGTGTTGGGACCCTTACTTTTCAGCCTATTTATAAATGATCTAGAGCTCAAGATTAAGTACCATTTCTGTGTTTACAGATGGCACCAAGCGATGTAGTGGGAAACAGTCTTTACAGAATGTCTCCAACTTACAAGCAGACCTGAATGCACAGGCATTTGTGGCAAATGAAGCTTAAAAGAGAACTATGGGGTAAGTGTTTTTCCACATAGTTCTCTTAAGGGTCATAAACTAGCATCCTCCATCCTCCAAGGACATAAACTAGCATCCTCCAGTGACCCAAAGCTCAGTATATCGCGAGCTACAGCTCGCGGTATACTGAGACCGCTGCAGCCGGGACGGATCCCGACATTACTGTCGAGATCCACCCAGCTGCCTGAGTGACAGCAGGCTCTGCCTATCTAGAGGCAGAGCCAGCTGTACCCACCCCCTCCACTGTTCGTTCCTCCAGTAAGCACTGGGGGATCGGAGCGGGGAGGGGGGAATCCCTGCAGGGATGACAGTCACGGCTCTCTGCAGGGACATGATCGAGAAGTGAGCGAGCGACGGCATGCGTTCGCTCACTTCTCGATCTTTTGAGCCGACGTGTGACAGTTTCCTTTTCACACGTCGGCTCGAACTATGAGGCTGAGTGATTTTCACGCACCTCATAGTTCTCCTTTTTTAATGTTAATAAATGTAAAGTGTGCACTTGGGGAATAAAAACATGTATGCATCATACATTCTAGGGGGAGTGCAACTAAGGGAGTCAATGATCTGGGTGTTCTGGTAGATCAGAGATTTAATAATAACATGCAGTGTCAAATTGTAGTTTATAAAGCAAGCACAATACTTTCTTTAAATAGGGTATTTATAGGGTGAAATAATAGGGTGAAAAAGGGTATAGACTCTAGAGAGAGAGAGAGAGAGACATTATTTTGCCCCTTTGCTAAGGCATCGGTAAGGCCTCATCTGGAATATGCACTTCAGTTTTGAGCAACAGTTCAAATAAGGATATTGCGGAACTGGAGAGAGTGCAGAAAAGGCAACTAAACTGAGAAGAGGCATGGAGGACCTTAGCTATGAGGAAAGATTAGCTGAATTTGTTTTCTCTTGAGAAGGGGTTATTAAGGGGAGGATATCATTACCATGTTTAAATGGTTCAAGGATATTCACTGTAAGGTCATGGCAAAGGACAAGGGGGCATTTTTTGCATCTGCAGGAAAAAAGGTTTAACTTTTGCATACAGAAAGGTTTCTTCACAGTAAGAGCTGTGAAAATGTGGAATAGGCTACCTCAAACTAGCTCCATTTAGCTCTGTTGATTGCTTAAAAAAAAAAGCTTAAATCATTCCTAAATGCACAGACTGTAACTGGCTATTAACATTTTATGTTTAAGTGATAACCCCCCGAGATTGATGATCCATGGAATATCAAATTGCCTTAGGGAATCGTGAAGAAATCTTCCCACACTGTCCACCCTTTTTTTTTTAGGGTCCTGTATATGGAGGTATTTTTTTTTATATAGGTTGAACTTGATAGACTTTTGTGTCTTCTTTTTTTTTTTTCAACCTGACTGACTGCATAACTATAAAAGCTATCCACTTTTTCTATAAGTAGGCTTCCTTCAAGCACTTCTAAGCCACCCTTTGGCTTAATCTTCTTACAAAGCTGCATTTCATTTTGAAATAAATGACTCTATTGTTAAAGAGTGGTTGTCATTTTAAAATATAAAGATTTCTTAAGCTGTGTAGTAAGTTGCGGATACACATTCCTTTTAGTTTTGTGTTATGTACTTAACATATTCTTGAGATCAAGCTCAAGGAAAGATTTATTTTTGTGGCATGCGACTTAGTCTGTTTTCTAATTCTTATGAGTTTCACGCTGATGAATTGTTCAGTAGCAGATGAAGGCTGAGCAAATTAGTTGCTGAATTCTGTGCAAGACAAATGTAACTAGCAAATAACATTAGCACGTAGCTCCATTTTATTAAGAAAAACAAAAATTGATTGCAAGGATTTTCACAAAACTTTTTTAAGGTTCATATCATTCTTTTTTTTTTTCTGCATTAATTTATGTTTTTCTTGCTGTGTCTTTTCTCAGACTGATGTCTAAGTGGTAGTGTCTGCCATCATTATCACCATGGATCAGTTTCAGTGTTGTGATAAGGAAAGCTGCAGTGGCAGCATCGCTGTAGGGGAGCACAATCCTATTTCCACTTCCCAGTCAAATTTGAGAAAAGCCCACTATAGCAACTGTGTTTTTATGTATTCCCATTCACACAGCATATGTAAAAATAATTTAGAATATGTATATTTCCTACATTTCAGATGTTTGTTGAGAGGAGGCCTTGGGGCAAACTGCAAGCTAATTAGAAGAAATTCAGAGTGAGTCTGTCACCAAACAGAGTGGGGACAGAGTGAGGTTCATCTGTTAACATATAAAGCAGAAGCCAGGCTTCTAGATACTTAACCCTTTGTTAAGATAGACAGTGTTCAAATCTTGTTTACAACTAATAATGATTCCTTCCAGCACAGTACAGGGTTAATTCGAGTAAACATAACTCTGCACAGCGCCTTCCTTTGCATTACATAGGGGAAGCTAGGTAGAATTTTTAATCAAGTCAAAAGGACATTTTAAACATTTAAAAAAATATTTCTATTAAGTTATACTATGTGAATGGGAACATACAACATATATAAAATAGGTGTTATCCCAGTTTGGCTGCAAATTTTTTCTTTTAAATAAATATTAATGTAATTTTATTGGTATCTATCTACCAGTAGCTGCCTCATTTCCCACCCTCGGCTTATATTCGGGTCAATACTTTTTCCCAGTTTTTTTTTTGGTAAAATTAGGTACCTCGGCTTATATTCGGGACGGCTTATACTCGAGTATATACGGTACACTTTAAGATGGCTACACACATTACAATTTGTGAAGGGGTACAACATAGATGTTGATGGATCCAAAGGATACTGTACAATCAGATTGCAAGGTGTATGGCCAGCTTTAGAAAGTATCTCACTTAAAGTGACACTAAACTTAGGAATGAAACCTTAAAAAACACATTTAGTTACCATAACTATTAATAAAAAATGTATCTTATTTGTGTATCACTCAGCAGTAGATCCTCAGGTCATCTCTTAAATGGTGCTGACACTGTCCTTTCTGGAGGGTGGATACTATTATTCCCCATGGTCCCTGTGTGTATTGTAAAGTAGCCACCGCTCCAAGCTCACTCCTGTGATGGACTACAATCTCATGTTTAGTTTACTAATTTGTATTCAGATTGTAGTCCATCACAGGAGTGAGCTTGAAGCGGTGGCTACTTTACAACGCACACAGGGACCATGGGGAACAAAAGTCCAGAAGGAAGGACAGTGTCAGCACCAATTCAGAGATGATTTGAGGATCTCCAGCTGAGTGATACACAAATAAGTTACATTTTTTGTTAATACTTGAATGCATTTTTGAGATTTAACTATGGAGTATAGTGTCCCTTTAATAGTATGTGAATTTGAACTGGCTTGGTGCAAGGTTCTGGGAGAAGTAGTGGCCAATAATAGAATAAAAAAATAGATATCTAATGGAGTTCTGTGCAGTGTACAGAATGTCTCCAGGTTGTCCTATGCAAGCAATATTCACATTTATTTACAGTTTTAAAAATCACAGCTGCTGTGGAATAAAGTGGAAAGGTAATGTATAATAACATTATATTGCAAAATGGCTTGTTTGGCAAACATATACAGTATATTTGTAATTTTAAGCAACATCTTGGCTTTCCTTTGAATGGGATTTGGAAGGGATAATTGGATAAAAGAGTCCTCTCTTTCCATACCATACTGCTAGCTTTGGTAAGCACCACCTACTGTAATTTTTTTTTTTTTTTTAGGTAAATCAACCTGTTGTGTTGTGGCATTTTTTATGTGTAGTAGCTTGTTAGATGTTTATTTAATATGCATGTTCTGTTTACACAAGCACCTTTTGGAAACTGAAAAATGAACCGGCTTACCAGCACTGGTGTAAAAGCAAAGCACCTAACAAAGGCATAAACAGCACCACATCATTTTTTTTTTATTTTACCTTGTGTTTTCTTTAGTTTAAAGATGTTGAAACATATAGGGCAACACCCCCCCAAAAAAAAAAACCAACAACAACACATGTTAGCAGCAAGGATGGTTGAATCAGAAGAATTCTGTACTTTTTTGATTCTCCTGAATGTTTACAGGTAACTTTCTCTGATCAGCAAAGAATTATGCAAGTTAGGAGTCCAGGAAATTGAGATTCATAAAATGTATAATTCTCTACCTGCTGGAGGAATCTAAATGCATGAAACAATTCAGTTTGTTTTGGAACCAATTTGTTTATCACTAGTTAGCAAATGGTGTCATGAAACTAAGAGAGTTAAGGTGGCCATACACTCTACAACCATCGCAAGACTTTAGTCTTGCGATGGTTGTACAGGGATTAAAAAAACGTACGATCTGCCTATCTTGGACAGGCAGATCGCACTCTCGATCATCGCAAGCCCGCCCCCCTGAGGGGCGGGCTTCCGATGACCGCAATGCTGAACGGGCAGTGTGCGCGTGCGCACACCGGCCCGTTCGGCATTTGTCTTCCGAGCACCGTTCTAACCAGCCGAGAATCGTACGATTCCCGGCTGGTTTTCGAACATGCTGGTTCGACAGAAGACGTTCGACCGTACAGTAGAAACGGTCGCACGTCTCCGTTCACACTGCTCGATTATCGTACGAAAAACCGATCGCATACGATTATCGTATGGGCACCTTTAGGAGACTTTAACACTACCTGGGTTGCAGTGGCCTGTTAAACATGTGGGCTGATTTAAGGCCCATTCACACTGCACTGTGCTGCAACACACATGTTTTTGTGCATTGATGTGTGTTGTGGTCTTCTGTATTTGGCAGCCTAAATGAATGAGCTTCAAGATGCAAACAAATAGCGCTGGCTGCATTGTGGATGTGAATCAGGTGCCATTCAAAATGAATGGCACTGCAGTGCACCTATGCACATAACGTGCATTACCGCATGGCAAGCGGTGTGAATGGGTCTTTAGGGTAGAGGGCATAAAGAACAATTGCCCATAGCAACTTTCTTTCTTAATTTGTAAGATGAAAACAAAAACAACTCTGGCTGCTGAAATATCTGTGTGTGGGAAGTCTTGTAAGGTATCAAGGCCACTGAGGAGCTTTCATTGCTAGAGCCCTGCAAGACTGGGGGGCACCATTAGGCACCATATGACGTACATTGTGGATAAGTGGTGTTCTTGGCTAAAATATATGAATACAGTTTGCTCCAGCTAATCCATATTTTTATTTCAATGTCTTTCAATTGTAGGTGAAGCAAGTACTGAACAAACTTTATGAAAACAAGAAAATTGCAAGTGCAACTCACAACATTTATTCATACAGGTTTGTGTTTAGGGAAAATTGATAATCCCTGCTGAAGCCGCATTGTCAAGCTTCTTTAATGTTAATTAGCATAATATTTTGCTTAATGAACATTATAAAATGTGCTTTATATGTAAGTCTGCATTTATATATCGCACAGTTATATAGTGAAGCATCATATATATACGTGTCCATTATAGGTAATGAGTTGTGTGAATAAGCAACAAGTAAGATGTAAGTAACTAGAGTTCATGTAGAAAATGTAGGCCTTATACGGGAGGTATGTTTAAACATAAAATCAGAAACATGTTTTTTTGACCTTGGCTTAAGGAACAATAGGTTCAATGCCAAGGTAGCTGTCCTTTTAATCCTGATGTGATTTGAGTCTTATCAAGACAAGAAGGCCAATCTAATGTTCTTGGCACAATCAAATACGAGCACAGGGTGGCGTTATTATCTGATTTTTGGAGATAATTCAAAGTAACATAGATGTTTAATTTTTTAAATCTCTATAACAAGGGGCATGCAAGCCCATATTATTTGTAGGTGCCTGAGTTGTTGCATGTTCACAGCAGGCCAGCTAAATAAACCTACCTCTTGAAGCTCTCCCGTCTGAGTGGTTGCTAATCAATTTGGGGAGATTTCCACCTTCACATTGGTAGTTAATTTATAGGCAGTCTGTACTATTATTTGCCAGTTACTTACAGTGTAACAAACAGGGGTTTTTGATCACATCTCTTCTTGAAAAGCTAACAGATATTTGGGTCAGTTTACAAAGCTTTACCACATGCATTGCTGCCTCCCTTACCATGTGGCATTGTTACCATCTGTGTAAAAAAATCCCCACAACACAGGAGTGAGCTTGGAGTTGTGGCTTTTTTACAACACACATAGGGACCATGGGAAACAAAAGTAGACACCCACCAGAAGGAAGGACAGTGTCAGCACCAATTCAGAGATGATCTAAGGATCTACAGCAAATAAGATACATTTTTATTAATAGTTAATACCACAGGCGCCAGCCCCAATACCTGTGTGGAAAAGGTGTAATGATGCACTCTGGAGACTGCTCACGCTGGTCTGGGGTAACCACAAGGATTGAAAGAAAAAGAGAGCACCTCCATCGTGTAAAACCATTTTATTATGACAATATAAAAGGAGTAAAAAACATACTCGCAAAAGAACTTAAATAAAAAAAAAAAACATTTAATGTATATCGGCAAACACAGACACCAATGGGTGAGACCTCTGTGACTCGTGAGGCTGATGAGCGGTAATCAGCATCATTACTTCAGGTGATTGGATTAATTGAGAGGTCTGTGATTGGCTATCATTGTATCCCTAATGGCAAGTCCCAGAGATCTCACCCATTGGTTCTGAGGAAGGAGGTGTGTCCTCTGAAACGCGTCAACCAAGAGGGCTATGCAGTTTGTCGGCTGAGTTGGAGCCTCACGATCTCGGTGTCTGTGTTTGCCCATATACATTATATGCTAATTTTTGTTAATAGTTAAAGTACTTAAAAGCATTTAAAGATTTTACTCCAGTGACACTAAAATCTCTTTGTTAAAATCAACTCACATGGCTGGAAATAGTGATACACAAATAAGGTATATTTTTGTTAAGTTAACGTACTTGAATGCATTTACTGTCACTTTAATGAATTGACATTACTGTATGGATTCTACCAATATAAATATCTTGTTATCTGCAGGATATACTCCAAAAAGACAAACAGCTTTATGCAGGACTGTGAGGATGATGGAGAAACAGCGGCTGGTAAACGTCTTTTACATCTTATGCAGGTGTGTAAAATTCCATTGATTCATGTGATGCATAAAAAACTAATGCAGTAAACAGGAGTAAACAAGGGCAATAGAAAACAATGGAGTTCCTTGTGTTGAGCATTTTGTAGCTCCAAGATTAGAGCTACAAAAACTCTAAAACTCGGCCGATACATCGGCGCATCCCTGGTTTCTTTTCTCCCCGCTGCAACAGCGCCCAGCGGGGAGAAAAGAAACCAGGGTTGCGCCAATGTATCAGCCGAAACATGGCTCTTTCGGCATTATGCCAAAAGTAAAATTTTCGGCCGATATGTTTCGGCAGCCAATATATCGGTGCATCCCTAGCCAAAAGGTTTGCCTGACTATGGACAGCTTACAGTTATATAATTGACACTAATATTGCTGACATTTTTAGTTTGCTTTTTGTTCTGTCCAAGACGGAACAGGTTTTATGCAACTGTTACAGATCGAACATGTAGTAGAATGTCTGGATCATTATGTAAATTTTTATTGTTTGTAGATTTTAGATGTCAAGGATGTAATGGTGGTAGTATCACGCTGGTATGGAGGCATTCTTCTTGGGCCAGATCGCTTCAAGCACATAAACAACTGTGCGCGAAATATACTAGTAGAACATAACTACACTTCCTCTACAGTAAGTAACCTATATTGGTAGGTTATTATAAGTTAGTAAACTTTCCACATATGGTAGTTAATATGTGTCACTCACATATCTGTCTCAACAATAAAAAGCAAAGAGACACACCTTGAAGGGTCATCATGGAGTGCAGCCATTTTTGATACAGACGCAAGCTGAAATGGAAATGTCATGCATAAAGTATGCTGCATAAAGTATATCATAGCACAGATGCCAAGTTAAGCAGGTGTTATTTGCAAACAAAAGTCCTGAGGATATGCATTACATTTATGTAAATGTAAAAGCTATTTGTAACTTGTGCTAACCTCTAAAAGAAAATATGTTTGTCTTTTCGGTCTGCATTTTTCTTTTGAAGTACCAGGAGAAATGACACTAAGGCTATTCAGCTTTACTCTAAGTGACATCTGTAGCGTGGAACTGATATGCAGCTTGGGAGTCGGGGGGTTACAGATTCCATTTCAGGTTCTTACATAGCTTGCTTTGTGACAGATTCCCTTTTCATCCTGTAACTTAGCACTTAAACCTTATTTGTGTTCAGAATCCATTTGCCATAAGGGCGAGTAACCCAATACTGACCTGATGTGTGCCTTGATCCTGATGGACAGTATGCCAATGAGGGGGCATACTCTGTGAAATCTTTGAATGAAGGGACCGGGTGGGCGGGTCATGCAGACGAAAAGCCGTGCCCAGGTGAGTCTACCTGCCCGATTTATGTGATTGTGGAGGGAACGGACTCCTCCCACAAATACAGGCTAATCAATTAGCCTTCCAACTTGTGTTCAGAATCCATTTGCCATAAGGGCGAGTAACCCAATACTGACCTGATGTGTGCCTTGATCCTGATGGACAGTATGCCAATGAGGGGGCAAAAAACAAACATTTAGGAATATGTTTATTTAACATCATTATTCAGCCAACTTGGAAAATGCCTCCGCCATCTCCACATGGGGGTCTGGTATATACCTAGCAAAACAAGACAAATTCCACCTCCCCAAGCTCTTGATGACGTGTGCAGGGACCCCATGGCGAGAGGCGCCCGACGCCGCCCCTATGCGGAAGGAATGTCCAGAGTATTTTTTGGGATCAAACTCCATCTGACCCATGAGTACCCTAACATGGCTCATGAACTGACTACCTGACAAGGGGGTATATGGAAACGGCAGCAAAGGGCTATCCATAGTGAATGGAGACAACAGGGCCAGGAGACTATCTAGTACTGCTACAGGGCACCAGGCGTTTCCAGAGGGAAAATTACCTTGCGGAACAATACGCATGGCGAAATTCAACATGCCCAGCACCGACTGCAACTCCTTCCGGGAACAACAAGAAGATATGGTCAGCTTGTGAATGACCTCCCGAATCCTAACCAGTTTGTCCTGCGGCAACCTGGCTTGTATGGCTGCCGTTTCCAGGACTATGCCCAGAAATGTGAGGACCGTGCCCGGACCCTCCACCTTGTTGGGTGCCACTGGGACGTTGAGGGAATCAAACGTCTCCAACAACAACCTGAGGTCACCCGGTGTCCCGTGAGGAGACTCAACCAGCAGAAAGTCGTCCAAGTAATGCAAAACTTTCTGGCAATGCACGCGGTGCTCGAGCACCCAGTGAAGGGCCCGAGCAAAGGTGTCAAACAACCAGGGACCGCTCTTAAACCCGAAGGTCAGCCTGGTAGCGAAATAATACAGCCCCCTCCATCTGACCCCATGCCATTGCCACGAGGAAGGCTCGATGGGCAACAGCTTGAATGCATCCGATATGTCTGCTTTGGACAACCACGCCCCCTGCCCAGCCTGCAAGATATACTGCACCGCCTGGTCGACAGAGGAGTATTTGAGGCTAAACTCCTCGGAAGGTATCAACGCATTCAAACTCGGTACGGGTATGGAATGAGGGGCAGAAAATCATAAATCAGATGACATTTATTAGAAAATTTGCCACATACCAGACCAATAGGACTAACTCTCCACGGCACAAACGGAGATTCAACAAAGGGGCCTATAACAAAACCCTTGTCGACCTCTGCCTGAAGTAAAGTATCTACCCTGCCAGGCTCGGCCAGAGCAGACCGCAAATTTACACATTCGTATGTGGACTGCGGTAACGTGACCAGCCCCGTGTGAAACCCAGATACGAAACCCTCCGCCAGAAAAGCTGCCAAGGAGGGATCAGGATGACCTTGCAAGTATTCTGACAATACCCCCCCCGTCAACCCGGCTTAGTCACGACTGCAAGGGAGTTTTCAATGTGCAGCTGAATCTGGGATGCGCCCTGAAGCAGGAGGAGCAGATGTGCAACAACCTGCACTGAGGGTAGTTACACACCTTATGGTTGAAGTTGTTACAAATCTGGGCCTTCCCCAAAAACAGGAATAGGCCGGCCCAATTTGTCATACTGAGTGGTGGTCGAGCTTGCCGGCGTTACCAATAGACCCGTGGGCCTGGGCGGCACCCCTGCCTCAGCCACGGCAGGCATAGGACACCAGTCTGCCGTGTGGGCAGAGGACTGGCAAATCGTACATACGGGAGATTTGAGGCCAGCGAAGTGCCTACAGAATAGCTCCGTGTCGACCCTGCCCCAATCCACCACGAACTTAAACTGGGACAACGCTGCCGCAGCTTTGGCCGAAAATGCCCGGTGATAGTCGTAGTACGCGTACCCACCGTATTTGTACGCCAAATCAATCACAATGTGTAAATAAGCATCCAGTTCCTCCCTCCTCAGGGGCTTAACGGAGCAGACCACATCCCTATAAACCCCGAACGCTAGCACGAATTCGGGAATTGATAACTTGCGGTTAAGCCGGGGGTCCCTGGCCTTCAGGACAACCGAGACCTCGCCACAGGCGAACGACTTGTTGTCAGTGACATCATGTGCAGCTATGAGCAGCGATGCCAAATTAACGTCCTTGCCCTCCAAAATGTCTTTCTTCAGACTGCTAGGGACAAAGTGAGCAGGGGTGACGTGAGGAGGCTAGACTGCCATACTTGACGCACTGGGCACCACCGCGTCGACGGTACCAGGCGCACCCGCCGCAGTACCGGGCAACACCAGAGGCACCGCCACCGGCACAGCGGTCGTCAGTCTCTCCAAATCCTCGGTCCTGTGCTGCAGGTCATGAACAGAAGTGGAGGCATGAATCTGCGTCAAAGACGTCACCACCGTCTGCAGTGACACCTGGCTCGTGGTAGCACTAGCAGTATATTGGGGGAACAGCAACCTAAAAAGTTCCGCCTTCCTGGCCGTGGCCGAGAAGGGGATGCCCTTCCTCTGTAGCTCCGCAATAATCTTGGGTATCGTCCATGCCCTGAGTGACGGGACGCTGCCGTGCTCCGAGCCCCCGGCCGGAGTTGCCGGGAGAGAAGTGAATTCCCCGATGTCTGAAACGTGCGACATGACGGAACCAGCGATGAGGAGCAACTTCATGTGACAATCCTCAGAGCCTCCGTAAAGCAGTGCATGTGAGCATATGTAAATGTCCAGACACTAGTAGCCGCTACAGCCAACCCCTTGTAAACGTATAGCGTGTAGGCGGTGGGCCGATCGGGCGCCCCCTACCGCATTGCATTGCAAACGTCCTGCGCCCCCTGCTGGCACGTTCCGGAAACGCGATAATCAGACTATGACCCTGAGTGCCACCCGTACCGACAGGAGATCACTGCGGCCGCTGAGCACCGCCCCCCCAACCACCAGAAGCACCGACGTGCCCCGCTACCGAGCGACCCCCAGCAATGAGGGGTGACCCTATGAGCCCTGGCCGAAAGAAAACAGATGACCGCCGGCGTTACCTGAATCGTGATGCCAGAGCCGGAAATACGAAATACCGGAAGTGACGACCGTCTTTACCAAACCTCCCCTGCATGCAGACGAAAAGCCGTGCCCAGGTGAGTCTACCTGCCCGATTTATGTGATTGTAGAGGGAACGGACTCCTCCCACAAATACAGGTTAATCAATTAGCCTTCCAACTTAGTAGAACACGGAAAGTACCATGTAATTATTATCAATTAGACAATTCCATTCAGGAATCAGTCTGGAAAGGACCTGGTGAAACAAACAGCTTTTTCTTCAGAACAAAAAAGGTAGCAATATAGTTTGCTAAAATCCTTACAATGTCCATTCATCACCCAGAGAGGATTGTTTTTTTCCTCAACAAAAGTGGCGTTACACTTTATTAAAGGAGTGGCGTGCCTCGAGATCTGCACATGTGCCAATATAATGCTGGTCTCTCTCAGGGATATGGGAACTGGCAAAGAACTGCAGCATGCTGCACACATGGATTCTGGTGCGTGAGCACACATAAAACAGGTCCCTACAAGGTTGAAGTCACTAAAAACCGGTGGCATGCTTTCCTTATATTACTTAGTAAATTTAGTTGATTGCACAAAGATTGTGTGGTCAGATTAAAACGTGCATGGTGAGCTTAAGGTTCCAACTTACACCAGCAGCGTGCACTACCACACAGCCGCTGGGGTGCACTGTTATAGAAACAATCTGCTGATTCAGCGTGAAGCACTGATTATTTGTTTTTAAACTTTTTGAAATGTCACAAGTGTACTGCGTCACAATACACTGCAGTAAAGAAAAGTACTGCATTTAGTACTTTTTTCAGCACATACCATACACGGTGGTTTGAACTGACTTTATAGTAAACAATTGCCTTGTCTGCCCAATGCAACTCATTGCATGTAGTGTAAACAGGCCCGAAAGAGGGGTCCAAGCCAGAGCTGAGAAAACAAATAAAAATAAATAAAACAATGTTTTGCTGTCTGAAAATTGGGCTGTTAAATGATAGTTGTCCTTTTTAATAGTGTTCATTGCATATGCAAGCAAGTTGACTTCCTATTTTAAGATTTATGTACTGTTCTCTTATTGTTTCAGGATGAATCTGTTAAACATGGAAAGAACAAAAGCAATTCCAAAGAAGGCAAGAAGAGGGCAGAACATTAATATATGAGAAATATTGGTTGCAGGATGTTCTATGATCTGTTTCAACTCTCTTGACAAAAATGGCTTGTATAGGTCATAAAGGGGTGTGACAGACTGAGTACCCAACTTTAGCTAGTGATTTTATAAACAAAAATGAGTTGTGAATAATAGCGTCAGGTGTGAATAGGAAATAAACAGCAGACCTAGCTGACACAGACCTTCAAAACATATAACACAAAATACAGGTGAAACTCGAATAATTAGAATATCGTGCAAAAGTTCATTTATTTCACTAATGCAACTTAAAAGGTGAAACTAATATATGAGATAGACTCATTACATGCAAAGCAAGATAGATCAAGCCGTGATTTGTCATAATTGTGTTGCACAATGGTAGCTCTATTTGTAGGTAGGGATATTTTGCTGGCTCCTAGATGTATTGAATGTGCCCTCTTCCCTGGCAAATCCCATCCTCATTGTCTCTAGTCACCTGACTGCACCCAGCATTTGGTCTATTCATCAGCAGAAAGGGGTGGGAGTTACAAAGGCGTATTAGGTCAGGCTATTTGAATATGCGTATAGATACAGCCAATTTTTTTGCTTCTGCAAATATATTAAAGTTGTTAATTTAAATAAAATTCTGTTTGACTTACAGGTTTCTGCAGCTTTCCCAGTTAAATATTTATACAGATGATGTTTATGTAAAGCCAACAACTTTTTTTCTAATTTTGGTTAGGATTCAGGATTCAGGACTCTGTAATTGAGATTTACCTTCACTTCCTGTGCTGCTGACCAGACAGGAAATAAGGGGGAAATCTGCAACAGAGATAACAATCTGACAGGGGTTCTAGTCCTCCTCTACTCTACTAGAGAGAACACGTTTTTAAGGTCCATTTCCAGCTTTGTAAGTGTTTAGCATTTATTGTGGTAATGAAGCGGTGCAGTGATGATGTATTATGTGCACATTTTCATGACTCACATTACTGGCTTTCTTCATTTTTTATGAAGTTTGTATTAACCCTGAAGACTAAAAATGCTAAATTTTCTCCACAGGAAAATCAGTCTGACACCAGAGTGTCAGACTGTAATCAGCTGCCCTCTCCCTGTTACCCAATGTAACATGATCAGTACACAAACTCTGCCTTTACACACAATGCACTGTCGAGGAGGGGCGTAGATATACACAGATTTCTTGCAGAGCACAAAGGCAGAAATGTCCATGCGGATATGAAGAGAAAAGCGAACAAAAAAATGTACGTTTCTGTGTTTATATACATCAGCTGCATATGCCTGCTTCATGTTTAATCGGTGTACATTGCATATGCTTTTTAAAAATACCTCCGCAAAGGTGGAAATGGGCTTTAGGTCTGTCTCTGTTGCTGTTGGAGAGTTCAATTCACTTCCTGGCAGTAAAAGGTCAAGGCAGGAAGTGGGATACATTTCTCTAACTGAGCCTCAGATAACAATAAAATCTTGACATGTGTTCTAACTCTTCCTCATCCTATCCATAACTAAGAAAACGTTTTGGATGAAAATTTATAGATTAATATAAGCCATTCTGTCCTCCTTCATCATGTGCAACAATGTCCATTTGGACATGATAAAATTCCTTCCACGTTTTCATAATAACCAGGTATAAATGTTAAGTGGTCCTTAAGAATTCTGCTTGTACTTGTTCACCTGATAATTGCCTTGAAAACACCTCATTTATTTTGAAACCAGTTATACCACTTTAAAACTGTACTTGCTGGTTTGTTTTCTCATGCAGGAACTGCAGTGATGGGATATCTTTGCTGAAAACCATAGTTTGGCCATTACAAAGCCAAATAATGGAGTCACACTTCTCTGATTGAGTCTACATTATGTAGGATGAAGACATAAGTGGGGAACTACCTTTTGGGAGTGGGGAGAGGCATAGACTTCCACACAGAAATTTTACAATGCCAGCCAGAAGGTGTTCTAACTAACTGTTAACCGTAACTACCAGTTTTGGGTGGGGTTGATCCTTTACATGTGTTACAAAAAAAATAAACATCAGCAAGAAATCTACTGGTTGAAGTTTGCACATAATAGGGTAAGTAATTTTTCTATAAGCAACACAGGATCAGAGGCACGTGGGTTATACTACTGCCTAAGAATTAACTCAGCTCCTCTTAACAAGGAAGTACGCTGGGCCCCCAATCAGCTGCAGTACAGGCATTCCCTGCCCCACAGTTGCCTGCAAACAAAGGACGGGATGCTTGTGCTGACATCATTTAGGTAAATGTAATTGACCAAATAAAGGCATGTAGCCCTATAAGGTCAATGATGTCACTAGATTCCCCCACCCTTTGCTTACATGAAGCTACAGTTGAGAATTGGAGAATTCCTCATCAGCAGCTGATTGGGTGACACAGAAGGAACTTCCTTCTGTGTTTTGGATAGGCTCCTTCCAGGTTCAGAGGAGCTTAAGTTCAGATCAGGTTCAGTTTGAACTTGAGCTCATTCCTACTACTGCTTTTAGGAGGAATTGGACACTGGCTGACAAAAAAAAAGAAGAAGCTGTTTCCCAGTCAAGTATAACCCCTTCCAATCATGCTTCAGTTATTTGTTAGTGTCCTACGAGGATGGACATCTTTTCTAATTTGTGGAAATGTTTACCCATTTTTACTAGGTGTAGAAATATGAAAACCAATAAGATATGATGCCAATATCCAACTAAAATGATAATGTTGAAAATAAGTGAATCATATCAGGTAAGAGTGGTATGGAGGATAAGCACCAATAAAGAACATATTATGTTGTACTGTGAACCAGTCTTTATTACAGAGGTTAAAATAAGCAGGTAGAAAAAGGTTGGACCATGTCGCAAAGATGCAAAACTACAAGTCTAAAAAAAGATCTGTGGTAGCACACTTGCAGAGGAACATCAAGATAAAGGAAGAGGTGACTGGATGATGCTGAAGATTAGATCAATGTACGTCATCTTTTCAGAATGAAGACCGTGAAAGCTTGAGATGCAATAGCTTTTCCAAGGTTGAAGCTACAACTGTGTAATGAACTTGCAATGTATTTTTCTAAATGTGCTTTTTTATCTGTGATATATACTTTTATCAGACACTTCAGTGAAACAATCTAATTTTAAAGAATATATGAAATATTTTTCTTGCTTTTCAATGATCATTTCCCTCGGGTATATTAAACTAACTGACTAATATCACCAAGGACATTTTATAATTGTATCCCTTGGACTTTTATTATTGTAATTAAGAAAATGTGACAGAATACACAGTGGACATAAGAGGTCATGTTATAAGACTTGGGAATACCGGCTGTTATTATCTTTGTGCTTCTAGAAAGTATGCATGTCCCTGTTATAAGACCATAGCGACTCATGATAAATTAGAAGTGATTCTCAATCATTTTCTCTGTCTTTTTAAAGCATTATGTTAAACGCAAATAGCGCAATGATTTTAAAACACAGCTCCCCACAGTGGAGTCGTTCTAAAATATATAATTGAACAAAACAGTCACAATATTACCATGCACGATACTGCTATCTCTGGCTCTAAGCTCCTCGGATCTGCCATGTCCTATGGGCAAGGATTGCTTCATGCAGGACCATTGCTCATGTAGAATTATTAGTTCACGCTGTACTGTACGTTGTCTATAATTCTGTGAAAAGGACAACAGACTTTATATCTAGACTTTACATGGAGCACAGTTAGTACTATGAACTTCAGTGTGGGAGTCAGCTTTGTTTTACCTAATACTGATAGAAATATGACTGACAAGAATTCTACTGAAGATGGAGAAGAATCATCTTTGTCTGAAAGCACGACCATATTCTTATATATCTTCATACCTTTGATTACTTCAGTCACTGTCCTTGGTAACATTATTGTTATTCTAGCTTTTATTATTGACAAACGACTTCGAAACCAAAGTAACTTTTTTCTCCTTAATCTGGCAATCTGTGATTTTTTTATAGGTAAGGCTTATTTTTCCTTTTATGTTTAAATAATTTTTTATGCTGAAGTACAGAAATGGATGAGAGAGGCATTCAGACTTTTACATTTTCACAGAAACACTCGTATTAGCTTATCCACCTCTTTACAAACACTTTAAAATAATGTCACACGTATTGCATTTGGTTCATATAACACTAACTCAATATGGCAATGCAAGTGTTGCTTGTATGGTTTTTGTCCACGTTTATCTGTTTATTATTTTATTTTTTGGGGGGGGGAGGATTTTTTTCCAGTTCTGGTATGAGAAATTAGATTAAGAGAAAGCTGTAATGAAAGAAATGTGGAGTCTGCTATAGCTGCCCTCTCCTACTAAAAATTCTAATTGCCATGCTGATCCTTTGGCTTCAGTGATTTAGGAACACTGCAACACTGTAAACGGAATACAATCTCTGATATTAATCAGCCTTCAAATGCAGCATGCTTGTTCTAGGTCACTGACTCGGAAAGCACAGAAGCCAGACTGCCCGGCAATCACCATTTTTACAAGGAATGTATATATTAAGACCGTGTAACTAGAAATATTTAGTGTACATAAATACCTTTATATATGTGCTGCACACCTTAACAAAAGATATTCAAATGACAAAGAAATAATAGGCAGTGAACATCATGACAATGTGTAATTGGTTAATATAATGAATAAAATGTATAAATCAAGCAAAACAACATGAGACAATAGTTTGTATCTCTATAGTTTCATGTTTTGTTATCCTTGTTTTACATATTTTTTTCTTTTCTTTACACATTGTTATGTATGTTGCCTATTATTATGTGTGTCATTTTAATTTTCATAAAGTGGTCAGTGATGGCAGTACAGGTTTCCTGTAAGACATTCATACATTTTCCACTTCCAGCTCACTACTTTGTGTAGACTGCTTGTGTCTTTTCCTGATTCTGCACTGTAGAAATCTTTGAGGTAGGGCTTGTTTACACCACAGAATTGTACTTAACACACAGTATCCATGCTTTTATCGTATCTAGCATTCCTTTGAATGGCACTGCAAAACACCTCCTGGTGGCCGCGCATTTCATGCAATATTTTCTTCCCCGCATGTGGATACCATGCGTTTAGCACAGCGCTGTGGTGTAAACAAGCCCTAATTCAGCAGCACTGGGTGCAAAAATGTGAGAAATCAAATGAAGAGCTCATTACAATAGTAGTTAATTGGAGAAGCTTGTAGGTTGGGCTTAGGGTTCAAAGCAGCTATGCATGTCAGCAATTGTTGTAAGAATTTTAAGCAAAGCTTGTGATTACCTTATTTTAAAATTAACATTATTATCTTGTATTTACAAGGAGCATTCTGTATTCCAGTAAGTGCATCATACATCATAACTGGGAAGTGGACACTTGGTAACTTCATCTGCAAGGTTTGGTTAATAGCAGACAATCTTATGTGTACTGCGTCAGTGTTTAATATTGTTCTTATAAGTTATGACAGGTTTCTGTCTATCACCCTGGCAGTAAGTATTTTAGCTTTTTGTTAATATACTAATCTCGACTTTGTAATAGTCTAGTGTAGTATTTATCTGAGATACTTATAGCATCCTTATAATAGATTACTGTTTTGGAAACGCCAGCTTGTACACAGTGACTATTGGAATCTGTCTGTCTCTGAATATAACAATCAAAATGGCAAACAACACGTGCACTATAATTTAGGGTTGAGGTCCCAAAACTACAGCCCACTATTTGCAGGAGATCAGCCCCTGCAATGAGAAGGCTGCTCATGCAGGGAGCACCAGCAGGAGCTGCTGTATGCAGAGTAGCCAAGGGTATCCAGCAATGTATCCTAGGCACAATTGGGTAGAGTATCTGCATAGTTCCAGTAATGGAAAATTAATTCCTCCCATTTACAGTATAAATGGGGGGCTACTCCTCGCTCAAATCACAGAGGCATTTATTAATTTCATTAATGTAGGGACATTTTTTTTTAAAATGTATTCCTACTGACCACTAATGCTAGGAAAAGTTTTTACTCCCACTGGCCACCAACATATATTTTACTCCCATTGATGCCAAGGCATTTTTTTACTCCAACTGATGCAGGGCATTTTTTTAATCCTTACTGATGACTGGGAGTTTTTTTTACTCCCACTAACACCAATGCTGGGGCATTTTTTACTCCCACAACACTAGCAGAGCTATTCACAAAAGTGTGAAGAATGAAAAGCAGGAGAAGTGAACAATCTAGGCCAAAAACGCTGATTTGGAAACATTCTCCAATTCAGCTCACTTTCCAGTTCAGTAATGTTGTCCTAGATTGTTCACTTCTCCAAACTCTTCAGACGTTTGTGAATAACCCCTTAAGTAGCTTGGACTGTACAACATAGCTGAATTGAGGTATTTTTTTAAATCAGCTATGTTATCCTAGATTGGCTTTCTGCAGTACATTTAACCAAGGGGCCCTGTGTGCCTCTAGGGGAGGGAGGGGAGATGAAGAACTCTGAGGATGGTAGGGTGGCTGTGAGGCTCTATGGAACTTTTAATGAAAAGCTTTGGGACTGAGCTGCTGCCCCCACCCTCTTTATACTCACAAACAGTTCAGACCTCCTTTTCAGAGTGGCTCCCACCTGAGAATGAAGGTAGCTTCTCTTACTTCTTGTGTAGAACTTAGGAGTTGCTTGAGTGTTTGGGTTCTCCAGGACTTCCCAGTAGTGATCCATCCTAACTGGACCCAAAACTCACTGACACACTGGTAGCATTAAATGGGCATTATTTAAAAAACATGAAAGCCCTACAGAAGAAACATGGTTAAGGCAGCATGGCAATAACAAGACAAATGTAATCATTTTAGAACCAAACACAGTTATAATTGGATATTAGGGATAACTATATGGCCTAGCAATAATTCAGAGGCCTTAACTGTACCACTGGTCAGTAGGGGTCTACCCCACAATCTGCCAGTTTTGGAACCTGTGAACTACCATTGGAGCACTCTCCCTTTCCATGGAGGGTACTTATAATTCAAAGGAAGGTTATAGAATTTCTAGACCAACTCTCTACATGGCAGCAAAGTTTGTAAGCAATCAGGAACGAGGTCAGAATTACTACAAGTGGACACGAGGCCTCTCACCACTATTGCTGTTCAGTGTCAGTTTCCCGGAGGTCAGGCAAGAGGTCACAACACACACGGAGCTCCCTTTTAAGCCTGCCTCAGCTGGATCCTCATGTGTCTCCCTCTCTGGAGCTCACAGTTTGCAGCCCTGGAGTTTTCTTTCTTCCTGTCTGTTACTTCTGTGTCACAGTCCCTCCTGCCCTGCAGCTCCTTGTGGCTCCTTTGACTTGATTTTACACTAGTATAAAACTTAAATGTGGTCTTAGATGTAGTGGCTGCATTCATTTTAATTTTTCAGCTAAGAATATTTTCACCAAATACAAAAAAAACTGTTAATCTGTATAACTTTCTGTGGTCTCAAATTAAAGCATCACAGTATTATTTTTAGTTCAAACTATCTACTTTAATAAGTCCCCTGCCCCTAATGTGATGGAGAATGGCGAAAAGGAGAGGAAGACGTTTATGTAGTCCAAATCAGGGGAACAGCCTGGATGACAACCATGGTGTCCTCCATAGATACACTGGAGTGAGGAATGGTAGCCACTCTAGCACAGGAAGTGTGCTACTCAAAGGATTACCAGGTGAAAATAGAGAAAATAAAATCCATAAAAAAGTGAATGCAGCAATCACATCTAAGGATTGCTAAGATCCTATATTATTATTATTACACAGGATTTATATAGCGCCAACAGTTTGAGCAGCCCCGCAATAGTCTGACAGGTAGTGAACCAATATAAGGAAGACATTACAATCACAATGCAATTCAAGACAAGATGGTAAGGAGGGCCCTGCCCGTGACGGCTTACAATCTAAAAGGGAGGGGCAAGTGATTCATGAGGAGATAGCTGTGTGGGGATGAATTGTTTTAAATATATATTCTGTTTTCATGCTTAGATACACTTTATAAATATGATAGGGTATTCAAGAATTATTGTCAAATATATTTATACATATTCTCATATCACTTTGTGACTAGCATGCTCTAAATTGCCTCTAGCTAATGCACTATTTATTGTGGGAGCAACAAAGTAATCTTTTTTGTTGTCTAGGTAACTTATCGTTATCAACAAAACAATCATAGCCAGACTGTCATGAAGATGACCACAGTGTGGGTGCTGTCCTTCCTTCTCTACAGTCCAGCTATCATTGCCTGGGAATATCTATACAGTGACAGCAACATTCCTGCAGGCCAATGTTTAGCTGGATATTACTACAGCTGGCACTTCCTTCTTGGAGCTTCAACCTTTGACTTCTTTCTTCCACTGATAAGCATTTCATATTTTAACATCAGCATATACTGGAACATAAAACTACGAAGCCGAAAAAGAAGTCGTGTTCCTACTTCACATACTAATCCACCACGTGACATAAGAGCATCAATAGATGTGGCTGTTGTGTCTACCACTGTGGGCAGGAGAGAACAAAGGAGTCAAATGCAAATTAACACACTTGAAGCATCTGTATATTTCCATAATTCCTCTCCAGAATCTGGAGGTATTCTCAACTCGAGTATCCATGCTACCAAACTTTCTAGGGATAAGCAAGTGGCCAAGTCACTGACTGTCCTTGTCTGTGTATTTGGGATTTGTTGGGCCCCATACACATTTCTTCAGACTATACGTGCAGCTTGTCATGATAAATGTGTTGACGCGTACTGGAACCAAGTTACAAGCTGGATGTTGTGGATTAACTCCTCGGTGAATCCGATCATCTATCCTTTGTGCCACAAAAGCTTTAGAGAGGCTTTAGTGAAGTTGTCTCAAAAGTGCAGATTTAAATTGATGACTTTTCATAAATATTGAACTTTCCTCTTTTATATTATTTAGATCCAATGCAGCTTCCTTTTACTATATTCCAACATTGAGTGGATTAATAATAACATGTATATGAAATATTAGAATAATTCTCCCTGTAGTGACATTTTAATTTGCTGTATGAACATTGTACTAGCAGAGACTAGTCATGAGGTCAGCTACTGTTTTCTTTTTATTATACATATCCAACTGAGTGCTTTGTATTTCTTTTGTCACTTGTAGAAAATGTTGTCTCTAGTTGACTAATGTGCTCTAATAAAGATTTTGTAAGTCTTACCATTGTTGTTGCAGTGTGAAATTGCCCTCCCTCTACCCTTTGTTGTGCATTCTGCTGATGTTTTTGAACCTCAATATTAATGACTACATATCTATCCTGTGTGTATAAAGGGAAGCCACTGCCTCTTAATGTAATCACTTATTGTAAGATAAAGAAGGATTCATTCTAGCAGTAATTTAACACGGAAGTGGGTGTCAATGAGTGGTAGAAGAAAATCAAGAGGTTAAAGCTGGAGCATGGAGAGCAGAAGTAGTACCAAAACATTTTTTATAGCACAATAGGGTGTTTGTGTGTGGGGGGAGTGATTACAAAAAATAGATGGAGTTGTGCTTTAAAACCAACTAAAGTGAAAGTTTTGTGGACATTTGGCGTAGGATATAACCCCTGTCAGCTTTTTAATTGTCACTTGTGTCCATGCTGCAGAAAAATCTTCTGTTCATTTCCTGTTGGGACAAGACGTGATAAGAAATCTCTTCAGTAGGGAAATAAACAATAACAGTTAGCAAGGGTTAACATTTTTGTCAGATTTTTTTTTTACTGTTTTTCTCTTTTTCACCCAGTGACATCTGCTTCCCTTATTGCTTAGTGTAGCAAATTCATCTTGAATCCTGCTTTCCTTCTTTTTTTCTTATCTGCCTCTGCTATCTTCTGCAACAGTTGGTTAAAAATATGGATGGAGATATTTATGTTCTTACCATATTTTCAATTTTTCAAGGCAGCCAAGAGGGCATTTTGTTCAGTGTTCACTCCTTACATGTGGTTGCATTCATGTCATGTCAATGCCTTTTTCGGACATGTTGTCCCGACCAATTGTACATCTTTCATGTTTGTATTTAGAGTGTGACTGTATACTTTTGTCCTGTATAAATTAAAAAAAATGACAAATTCATCTTGAACTGGCAAATCTTGGGTGAATTCATGGTGGGCAAATTTTGCACCCATCAATAATACCCTGCACACCCTTTCACCTTGGTCAGCAGACCCACAACAGCCAATAATGGGGGAGGGAAGGGTGCTCCAAAGCTTTTCTTTTAAAATAAAAATAGCTTGTCCTGATGAATGTGTTAAGCATCAAAATATACTAGATGCTGGGCTTTTATGGTGTCAGGTCAGGGACGACAGGATCAAAAGTACATAGTGTCAAACATATCACATATTTATTAAAAAAAGATAAATAAGCATCTATACTATAACATATAAAAGATCCCAGAACTACTAGGATGTACACCAGCAACTACTCCCTGTATAGCATTTATTGCTCATACCACGACATTGTAACTCCCTGGACCATATCAATACATTACATTTACAAATATCTCAGTAAATTCCGTAAACTTCAATGTCCTCATAACAATCAACTGGTTATATTCTATCATCATAATTGTATCCTTCGGCCATTCATAAATGTGTGATGGTCCAGCCTTTTGCCAAAGCTTCTTCAGGCGAATAGAAGGCGGTCTACAATGTGTTACATAAAAAGTTTAACAACTAGACTAATAAACATTTAATATATTAAGGACGCATAGACAGAACAATATAAATACATAACATAAATAAGTAAATATCATTCTCTGGGAATCTGATGATGAATAGATCCACAAAATGGGGATGTCCCTTATCACCCAGATGGCATAGGGAGTAGGGAGCATATAAGGATGACAATGCAGGAGAGACTTAATAACCTTCTATGAACACCTATGTAAATTAAAATACAAAACATAACTATAACATGTAAATCTACATATATGGGGATCCCGCATCAGTCAGAAAGTCCCCCAAAGACTACAACATTCTACACCCACATGGACAAAAAATCCAGAGATCTGCATTGTCTAATCAATAAGAGTAGTAAACAATGATCAGGACTTCAATAAATAATGACCAAATGACAACATGTATAACCTAGGTTACCTATTAATGACCATGGGGTTAACCAATACTCCTCTTAATTCATACCATCAAGCTAAGCAAGTTATTGAGATTTCTTTAACAATTCCTCTGACCAGACCTCTGTCTATGTCTTCTGGGTGATGAGGGACATTCCCTAATGTCACACAATGTAACACATTTTAGGCCGCCTCCTATCTTCCTGAAGAAGTTGTGGCGAAACGCGTAGAAGGCTGGGCCCATCATTCATTTATGAATAGGTGAGGGATGCAAATTATGATGATAAAATATATCCAGTTAATTGTTTTGAGGACATTGACGCTTAAAGAGTTTACTGAGCTATTTGTAAATGTAATGTATCGATGTGGTTCAGGGAGGTACAATGTCGTGGTATAAGCAATAAATGCTATACAGGGAGTAGTTGCTGGTGTGCATCCTAGTAGTGGGATCTTTTATGTTTTAGTATAGATGCTTATTTGATCTTTTTCAATAAATATGTGATATGTTTGAAATAATGTATTTGTGGTTCTTTCATCCCTGATCTGACATCTTAAAAGCCCAGCATCTAGTATACAGTATTTTGTTGTTGGATTTGTACGTTTAGGGGTGTAGTGCAGTGACGTGCGGCCATTGCAGGGGTGACACCAAAATGACTGTCAGTCATTTTGATGTCACCCCCTCTAAAAAGTCCGACAGAGAGCCCGACAGTATCAGGAGAGAGTAAGGGACCCAGCGGCATACCTCATCCCGCCAGGTGAACGTCCCTTCCTCTCTCTGCCAGCGTCCATTATCAAGATGGCCGCCGGCAGGCGTCAATCAGATGGCCGCGCATGCATGATGACGACATGGCGGGGTATCACCCGGTCTGGAAACCGGGTGACACCCGGCCTTGGGACGCCCCTGGTGTAGTGTCTTGTTTTCTTTAAAAAGAAACCTTCACTGATTGCTGACTAATCATCTATTCTTGAAGCTTCCTTTTGTTTGCAGCATGCTGCAGCTAATTTGTGTGGAAGGACAGAAAATAGGTGCAAAAACAGTGTGCACCAAAAACATCTCACACTATCCCTTGCATTGACCACACCCCTTATCAAATAGTTAAAATAAAGGTTAGGCATAGACCTAACAAATAACACAAAATGGCAGACAGACAGGCCTATAAAGCAGCAGCAGTGGTGCTGCAGGTGGATGTGATCAACTTCAGTGTGGATGTGATCAACTCCACATGCAAGGTCTGCATGACAAAGGGGTGGTAGGGCCAGACACAACAGGGACAAGGCAAGTCTACACGCAGAGAAATTGGTAATGAGGCCAGAAAACGAAACCTAATTTTGCACATTGCCATATTTGCCTTAGCACTAAAATTTATCATCACTGTCTGCGCCTCCTAATCTATAATTTAAAAATAAATGAGCACTCACATCTAATATAATATACTCTGTCATTTAAATGCACCAGTGACTCCATTGTTGAAAATTCTAATTATTCCCAAACTGAAGCTTTGTTAATTTAATTACAACAAATTGTTTAGGGACCAAGTAATCTGTAAACACCCAGGAGATAAATTTGTTCATATATGTATTCTCTAGTTCCGAATACATGTATATATGTGTATGTGGATTGCATGTATGGCTTGGAATTTTAGGATTTGAAGCATATAACAAACCTTTATGTCACATTGATGTACAGTAACAGGGTGCACAGTGCTAATTCTGCTTTAACAATCCAAGTGTATAAAATGCATGAAATATGGACAATTTAGCATTACATCACAGTGTCTAAAGTAGCAGAAATGTCGTAAATATATTTTGACTTTAGTATACAGACTTTAATATACAATGGTAACTTTTAACTACAGCAATCAAACAATTAATACTCTTAATGTCATTAATGAAACTGCTAGTTTTGAACCACAGTTTTCAGAAGGCTTACAATACTTAATCATTGTTCTTATATCTTTACTTGTTTTCCTTACTGTCTTTGGCAACATTCTAGTGATGGTAGCTTTTATTATAGACAAGAGGCTCAGAACCCAGAGCAATTTCTTTCTTCTCAACCTGGCTATCTGTGATTTATTGTTGGGTAAGTTTTTTTTGTAATTTCTGCTTAAAATTAGATTATTGTTACTATCAGTTGTAATTTACAAATTCAAATGAAATAATTGGTATATTTATTGTTCATGAAATTATATAATATGGGATATTTTCACAATGAAAAAATATTATTATGTTATTAATAATACATAATGCACATTTGACATGTTATTATAATGTTTTAAATATTAACTTTTTTTTTATTAAATCGGCCTCATAGGTACAACAATTTCCATTACACAGAATAAGTATAAAAAAACATATCAAAGCATTATCAATGTAACCACACCTAAGCTTTAATCTTAATGCTTTGGCAAGATATGACAGGACACAAAAGTAAAGGTACATGAAGTTAATAGGGAGAAATATTTTTGAAAGTGTAGGTTTGGAGCTGGTCCTCTATTGGCAGATACTTCATGATGTATAACAAGAACAGATCTAATATTTTATGTTTGCTGATTAACTGCCAAATGCCAACAGAGACAGTAGCTATTTCTTGAGACTTGAGAAAAGCAATTACAGGTCGTTTCCTTGGTTCAACATTGAAATCTAGCATATTATTTGGACAGCTTTTCTTATCTCTTTGCATGTCACACTGCTAAGTTTCCTACTAAATTGTGGACTTGTAAAATGGCAATATAAGTTAGAGGAAGTGATGTATAAAAAGTGGTAACAATCTTTGAAAAAACAGGGAAAATCAAAATAGCAAAGGTTACACAATCCTGAGTGACATACCTTCTCTAGCTTCCTTCTATCCTTCATAATTATACCTCTGTTTATTCATAAACAACAATAATTAAAGTGACACTCAACTCATGAGTTACATCTTAAAAATGCATTCAAGTACCTTAACTATTAACAAAAATGTTAATAAGTGTGGAGTGGACTGGAGTGAGTTTGAAGCGGTGGCTACTTTACAACACACACAAGGACCATGAGGAACAAAAGTATCCACCCTCCAGAAGGAAGGACAGTATCAGCACCAACTCAGAGATGATTTGAGGATCTAAAGCTGAGTGACACACAACTAAGCTACATTTTTGTTAATAATTAAGGTACTTTTTTTGCATTTTTAAGATTTAACTCCTGAGTTTAGTGTCACTTTAGGGTGTCATTTAACTAAAAAACAATGCTAGGAAAATATTTCCTAGCACTGTTCCCTCCTATTATAAAATGAATTCAAAATCCATCAGAGAGGGTAGGACATTCATGTGACAGCCCTGGTAGATGTTCAAACCTGGGAAATAAAGCATGGGATTGCATAAAAGTAGTTCCTGACATATGTAGGAAACTTTTAGGTGATTTTACTTTCCAGAATCAGCAATATACTGAAACTGTAGTTTTAGGTGTCTAACCTTTTAAGGTCTGAAATTTGAAATTAGGTGGCCATGCAAGGTAATAGCAGTGAAAATGGTTATTTTCGAATACACGCTTGTATGTGGTTGCCTAATCAGTACATTATATACTTGAATATCTATATGCGCAAGTTGCATGTTATAGTTAATATAGTTAATAGTGCCTAAATCAAGATATATATATATATAGATCTATATATATTTATATATATAGATCTATATATATATATACATTTTTTTTTAACAGGAGCAGTTGCCATTCCTTTGTATATACCTTACCTGCTGATTGGAAAGTGGATGTTAGGGGCATTTCTTTGCAAACTCTGGTTAGTAGTAGACTACACTATGTGCACAGCCTCTGCATTTAATGTGGCTCTGATCAGTTATGACAGATTTCTTTGTGTCACCATGGCTGTAAGTATAACACATAAATTATTGCAAGTATAACATGTAAATTATATTATCAATGCATAATAAGGTTTATAGTTTATAATTATATAAGTATATGGGTGACAGCCATTTTGCTTTCTGCTTTTTAGTGCTCCTCAAAGGTTATACTTTGCAGTTAATTTTTACAGTGCAAGGTCTGGCTATAGGTCTGGTAACCCAATGGGAGAAATCCCCCTCTACGGGACTAATATTTCATCAGTTTTTAAGTAAACTGGATGGGTGACTGCAATATTATACCTAGTTGTTAATGTACAAATCTCTATATTTATTACAACATGAAACGTAAGAATGAGCAAGCACGTAAAAATGTGTGGTAACAATAAAAGTTACATTAAATTAAAATGACTTCTTCATGGAACTAAAAAAAGAAAATAAATACCAACCAAAAAATAAGAAATGAATATATTCCTGTTGCTGGAAACATTGCTCTCTTGCAGAGTAAAGCCACCAACAAAATATTCACATAACACACATCTTGGTGTGTCAGACACCTTTGCCCCTGCCGTGAGCTGACTTCTTCATCACGTCCTTAAAAAAAAAGTAAAATTCTAGTGAATTTTTAATTTATTAGCACTATGTAAGCACACTATTGTCTTTGGATTGCACTGTTTTATAAATTATATACATTTTATATAATTTTATGACATTTCTACATTTCTGCGGTTTTAATTTTGTAAACCAAGGTTTCTAGCTGGTGGTTTCTATTAAGGTGTTCCTGTTAAGTAGTACAACCAATCCACTAACAGTTCTGGGGCAGTCTGCAGTGGCTCTTATAAGGGACCTGACACCAATAGCTGTTTTGTTGTCCCCGACCTGAGTCAACTCACTCCTTGGAGTCTCCCATAGCTCTGTCAGGTGTGGCCCCCTCCTCTACATTATACATTATACAACTTACAACTATGATTGCTGACAAAGACTGTAAATGTAGTTCTACACCTTATTCTCCAGAATCTTTTTCAGACATCCCTGCAGCTGTAGGGACATATGAACCTTCTGCTATGGATGTACTGTCTGAAGAAACTTCTCACAGATCCCTGATGGGTGACTTTGTTCTTGAGAAGGTTCAGGCAGCTTAAATAGCAGCTAAGTTTAAAGATACCATATCGGCTAGGGATGCACCAAAATTTTGGCCGCCGAAACATATCGGCCAAAAAACTTTTTCGGCTGAAATTGTGGTGCATCCATGGTTTCTCTCCTCCCTGCTGGGCGCTGCTCTGCATCACCTCTGGAAGAGGAGTGGGGTGGGAAGGAGAGCGATGTAAGCGTGTCACAGGAGGCCAAGCTCTTCTTCTGTTCTGCCTCGCTTGGCCTCTTGTGACAGGTCAGGACGGGGAGCGGTGTGTGTGAGGACACAGCTGTGAGCTGTCACAGGAGGCAGAGCTGGCGGTGCAGGGGAGGAGTCAGCTGTCAGCCGTGTCACAGGTGGCTGAGCTTTCCTCCCCATACTGCCCGCTCAGGCTCCTGTGACAGTGATGCAGAGCAGAGTACAAGCACTCAATGATCAGCTGATCGATGAATGTTTGTAAATAAATGAGGACATAGTATGTTTACTATGTCCCCAATTATGAATGAACAGGAGGTGCTCAACATCACTTCCTGTTCATTCATAATTGTGGGCATAGTAACACATACTATACCCTCAATTTATGAATGGACAGGAGTACAGAGGCTCCCTGTTCATTCATAAAAGGGGCTGCAGAAAAAGAGAATGTGTACTCAATCTCTTTTTCTATTTTAAAAGGGAAATATCTGTTTTGACCCCTGATGTTTCCCCATTGCCCCCAACAGTAAAGTCAAAAATAAATAAATAAAAATTGAATATTAAATTATTATTTTTTTAAAAGGTCACAAAAAAAATTGTTTTTTGTTTTGGCCTGACAATTTTGTTATTTGCGGTTTCGGTCTGAAAATTACATTTTGGTGCCACATTTTAAGTAAAACATCCTGTGGCTTCTACCAATGCTGTTACCAGTCTGGGATCCCTGAAAAGTTCCAAGGCTATTAAAACTTTTCCAAAATGCTCCTTACTTCAACATGTTCGATAAGGAGACTGGAATACTTCTGACAAATTCTTTACTTTTCCCAAATATTTTCAGACCAATATCTGTTTGATGAAGATTTTCTTGTGGGAGCCTTTCTCTCTCTGTGGATCCAGAAATATTCCACCTTAATAAAACACTGACTGTAACCATTGTGGGTGCCCCAGGTGTATTTCCACTTTTGCAGCAAAATTGGAATAACACCTATTTTATGTTTGTTATTTGCTCCCATATACACAGCAAAACATAAAGAAATACTTAAAAAATGCTGCTTACATTTTTACTTGCTTAGAAATCCTACCTAGCTTTCCCCTTCTATGTAATGTTCCCTTCTATGTAATAAGGTAGTGAGGTTATTGTTTTACCCTAACTAAACCTGCCTGTACTGTGCTGGCAGATGTCTTAATCAGTTACAAACTAGATTAAACATTCTGTTATAAAAAAGGGTTAAAGATCTCAAGACTTGGATAGTGCATTGTATATTAACATACAATGCACCATCCAAGCCTTTAAACTATAAAGAATAAATAGATATCTGCAAGGTTTGTAATAGGGATGCACCAATACTAGTATCGGTATCGGTGCCAATATCGATTATTTGGGGCGAGTACTCATACTCGCCCAAATGCTCTCAATGCTTACCCTGATACTGGAACTTCCGGTATCAGGAAGCCGGCTTCATGCTCTCTCATCACCAGGGAGCATGGAGCTGGTTTCCCGGGTGCTGTGCAGGCAGGGCCGGCCTTAGGGGTGTGCGAGCAGTGCGGCCGCACAGGGCGCCATAGCAACAAGGGCGCCGTGCGGCCGACACAGCTCGTCCTGGGGGCGGCTTCTCTCCCCCTCACCGCTGGGCGCTGGCCATCCGATATGACAGTGCTCCCTCGTCCGCCCCCCCCCATTCAGGGGGGGGGGCGCAGGAGGGAGCGCTGCCTGCTGTCATTGATGGCGGAGCGGTGAGGGGGAGAGAAGCCGTGCCCGCAGCTGTCAGGATGGCCGAGCAGGTAGGAGATCGGAGCCGCTGTCATCCTGTCAGTTTCAGGATGACAGCGGCCCTGTGCGCGATAAGCTTTCTCGCACAGGGCGCCTAAAGGCCTAAGGCCGGCCCTGTGTGCAGGTATCTATAGAATTCATTGCAATGATTACTGCAGCCAGTCGCCTGTCATGAAAAGAATTCAGTAGGAGCTTGGGATTTGAATGATCCCTGTGTGTAGACATTATGCTCTTAACACTTAGTAAATAAATATTTTATCTCTGGTGGACTATCAGGATATAAAGTTATTGATAACACAGCAATCAGTGTCCCCCAGATGGTCATGATTCCTTCACATTCTTCCTTACAAAAAGAAATAACAATTTACAACATGGCAGATCCAAACAGGCACTGATATGGATTTTTCTATTTTATGTAACTTCTTGGGACTTCTTCACCAGCGATATATAATATTGAAGGTTTAATGATACCATCTGCAGAGTTCTCTAAAATATTAAATGGTTTTCTCTTTATCCAGGTGTTTTACCGCTCCCTGCAAAACAGACACAGTCAGACTGTTCTCAGAATGTCCATCATCTGGATACTGTCCTTCCTTCTGTACAGCCCAGCCATTCTTGTATGGGACAGTATTGTTGACAACACATACATTTCTGAGGGTCTCTGTATTGCTGGATTCCATAACACCTGGTACTTTCTGCTGGTTGCATCATCAATTGGTTTTGCTGTTCCATTTATTAGTATTTCATTCTTCAATCTGAGCATCTACTGGAACATCTCTAAACGCAGCAGAAAGAAGAGACAGTCTTCTGTTTTATATTTTTCAGGAGTTAAAGGGAACAATTACAGCCCGTTTATTGTAGCAACCAATGTAGTTCTGTCTTCTGCCCAGTCAGCTATGGAAGTTGAATGTAAACCACCTCTAAAGAGGAAGGGTAACATCTCCATTTCTTTTATACAACGCAACAGAAGAAAAAACATGATTACCACACATAATCATACTACTTATATAGGGATAAAGCAACATATTAATAAACTTTCCAAAGATAAGAAAGTTGCCAAATCACTTGCTGTTCTGGTTGGGATATTTGCCATATGTTGGGCACCCTACACATTTCTCAATAGTATCCGTGCAGCCTGTCATGGCTACTGTGTTGATTTATATTGGTATGAGATCACTTTCTGGCTTTTGTGGATGAATTCAGCTATTAACCCTGTTCTTTACCCACTGTGCCATAAACAGTTTAGAAAGGCTTTTCTCAAAGTTTTAATACACATTTGCTTGTGGAAAACTGTGGAATAGGAATAGAAACTAGGAGGGAATTAATAAAATTCACCAAGCTAACTGACATTGACACACATTAATACATGTCAAAATGGAAAATGTTTGCTGTCTTTGATCTCAACAAGTTCAAGAGACAGATGGACTGCTCGTACCGACCCATGCAGAAAATACTCTAGTAGAGTGGGTGGGTGGATAGAGGGACACTGGGGATAACAATCTGCTGTTTAGATTTTCTGCTAATTTTCATCTAATTGTCTTTTTTCCAGTTTGCAAAGTGGGGAGCTATGTGGTACACCCTAACCTTTATGTGTGTGCCAGAACACTTATCTTTACCAATGTCCCAAGCAGTGTGCCAGGACCTCACACCATCTGGCTTCTAGCAAATATGTGCAGTACCCTGGTTGCTAGATAACCTGCATGGTGTCACCTGAGCCTTAGTGACAGGGCCATATGACCAGCAATGGCAGACCTTTAATAGCACAGCAACCACTTTTCTGTAGAGGTTGGAAAGCAGATCTTGCTCTTAAAGTGTACATTTTAGATTGTATGTATGGGGCACCAGACCTAAAACATTCTCCCCTGCAGACATCCCAGGCAGTTGGGAGCAATATAAAGCCAATGGGACAAGTTCTTTGATGGAGGCAAATGCCATTCACAAATGGAATGCAGGTGTTATGGCTGACCTTTTACTTAAATTGTTTTGGAAAAGTTAATGCACAAAATCTGAAGGGTTGGGAAATAAAGGGACTCTCCCTAATAGCAACACGGACAGCAGGAAAAGTTTGACAGATATTCTAACTCAGTGTCACTGAGGCAAGATGTAAAGGAAATACCATCCAGGCAGAACACAACAATAAAATCCCATGTTTAGTTGTAGCCCTTTCCAACTCTATATAAAAACATTTTAGCTGTAGTTTTACCTTAATTAAAAACACAGGATTTTTGTGCTTACCAGAAAATAAATTTGTTGAAGTTTATTAAGGGACACAGGATTCAGCTATTCAAAGACAACTGGGTTATAATGCCATCTTCCAGAAGCACTGGACACTGACAAACAAAAAAGCTTTTGGCCAGTCAAGTATAGGCTTTCTTAATCCCATCATGCTTTACGTTTGTAGAAAAGCAGTGTTAGGAATAGATTACAAGCAGAAGAGTGGACATGTACCTATGATTAATGAACTCCAAGAAATCGATTTTACAGTATGTGCAATAATAATATTTTCCTTCTCATTCATTAAGGGACACAGGATTCAGGTATTCTGGAGACAATTGGAACTTCCAAAAGCAGTGCAACAGTCACAAAACACTAACAGGCCTTAACAACAAAACAGTAAAACGTAGGGCAGCCTGCAGCTCAAAGAGCTACCTGAAGGGCCTTTTGCTTGAAGCTTGCATCATATAAGGCCTAAACATTCACCTAGAAAAACTTAGAAAACGCGTGACCAAAAGACATCCAGTGCTGTAAGTCTTCCTCTCCTGACCGTGTCCGACCTCTGATCAGTGGGGAATCTAGACATTCTGTCACCCGTGGCAAAAGCTTTAGAGTTTCTGCGCCCCACAAGAGAGAAGTGGCACCCCTCCTAAGCTTCGACCCTGGCTCTGATAACTTGCCTTAACCACTTTCACAGTTCGTAGCCTAGCACAATAGAGAGATTAGAAATTCTGTGTTCACTTTTCAAGTTCATTGACTGCATTCTGTTTCTGGGTCAGTAAAACATAATTAAAACCACTGGATCAGGCAAGACAACAGGGAAACTAGTGATGGATTACAATATCACGATTAGTTTACTAATTTGGAATGAGATTGAAGTCCATCACAGGAGTGAGCTTGGAGCGGTGGCTACTTTACAACACACACAGGGACCATGGGGAACAAAAGTAGCCACCCTCCAGAAGGAAGGGCAGTGTCAGCACCAATTCAGAGATGATTTGAGGATCTAAAACTGAGTGATTTACAAATAAGATACATTTGTGTTGATAATTAAGGTACTTAAATACATTTTTAAGATTTAACTACTGAGTTTAGTGTCACATTAACCTTACTTGTAACTCATACATACAGTACTGGGTAGAGAATACTTTTGTGAAGAGAAATAATGGAAAGTTCTTCTTTTAGTATATAAGATACAGTATGCTATGATACAAGGGAATACAAAAATCCTCCAGGGAAAGTTCAAAGACTCCAAGGTATTTAATGTAGGAAACACATACGGCTGAACAGAGACCTTGAAGGGCTTTGGAGATTTTTAAATGTTATTCTGATGCAATATTAATGCAATATCAATCAGCAGATTTTGCTAGAAATGTTTTACATATACAATTATAGTTTTTGATAGTTTAATGACTATGCTAACTGTTACATATGTGCAAGCTAAATAAAAATGAGCCACGACTGCAGGTAGAGAGGGATCCGCCCACATGGCAATTTTCTTATAAATTAACACCTTGCTGTACTTCAAGGATCACGGCATTTTTAAATGACTCACCTAAGGTATGAGTGTGTGCTACCTAGGCTGCAACAGACAACATCTACCTATGTATTGGTATGTACTGGTACTCTCTGTTTAGGAGGATGAGGTCAGTGTTCTACCTTTCTGGAAATGTCACAAGTGTTATTGGAACTAACACATCATTTGTACTCGATGAATTGGGAGTGTTCGGCTCACAAAACATGATGATTCTGATAACTGTGCTCATCTGCATTTTAATTCTGGTGACTGTCCTGGGTAACAGTCTTGTTATTGTAGCCTTTATGGAAGACAAGCGACTTCGAAACAGGAGCAATTTTTTTCTTCTCAATTTAGCCATCTGTGATTTTTGCATTGGTGAGTCACTAATCTTTGTCATTCAACTGCCACTTGTTATGTGAATGAGTGAAATATATCATTAAAAAAACTGTAATTTAAAGAATAAAATATAAATGATACAAAATAACTGCTGTTAAATGGTGTAATTTTATTGTGTGTAACACTATAGAATACAATAACATTTCAATGAAATTAAATGCAAGGGATGTTCATCAAAATGTTGTTACATTTCATTACATTTATTATGTAAGATATTTGCAAACCATTGTATTCAAACGTTGGTTATGTTCTATTTACAGGGCATATTTATAAAGCAGTGAATGTGACATTCACCAAATATTCACTTCACATATATCATCCTGGTGCATGTATTTAAAATTACAGGGAATTATTAAACACCTGTGAAAATTTGGTGAATGTCACATTTTGTTTTGTAAATATTCCCTGTGTTGTGAGAATATATGTAGTAAAGAGCAGCATTTCTCAACCTTTTTTTAAGTCATGGCAATCTTTAGAAATTTAGAAAATCTTGAGGCACACCAGTCTAGAGTGTAAAAAATGTGAATGTACAAAATGATGTGTGGCCCTTCCAAAATCTATCCCACACAAATCTGAAGCCCCCTTCACATCAGAGCCTCCCATTTCAAATCAGAGTCCGCTGGTCACATCAGAAGCCCTCCTCTTGATTTCAGGAGTCCTCTTCACATCAGCTTCCCCCATCCTTTACATAAGAGTGCCCCTTTTTACATCAGAAGCCTGCCTGCAACATGGAAGGGTATGATGCTGGATGAAAATTTTCGAGGCACCCTGAAAAAGGCAGGAGGCACCACAGGGTGCATTTTTAACATGTGTTAACATGTACTTTGCTAACTTTTTCCACAGACATTTGCCATTTTTCTAAAAAAATAAATAAGGAAAAATAAATCTCTATCAGTTGGTAATATGGTTGACTGTATAAACGGCAGTGAAACATACTACATGTGCATTTTATTGTGTTAAAATTCCTTTTTCAAAATGCACAGGCAGTAAAATTTACAGAGGCTGAATTATCTGCAACACACTGCAATGCAGTACACAGATTTAAAAAGGCCTGATTTATCTGAATGACTATTATACTGTATGTTTGTAGCAGTTTTTCTGTGGTAGCTCCCTGTGTAATACTGCAGGAAAGTTATTAGGTGTGAACACTGTTCTTAGATTTCTTAGATGAGCCAGTTAAACAAATGCATCTAAATAAAATGTTCGATAATACAAAATACAAAAATCATTCTGGTGTAAAAGGGTGGTAAATGCCTAATAAAGAGTTCTATGTATAAAGCTGTATACCAGTATGTTCACTAATAAGGGTCAGTTTATTATATCCTGTGTAGTCAGCAGTGAATGGCAACGTAGCCACGCCCTCCGCCTGCAATGCGATCGGCCGCACAGGATCGCAAGGCACATTATGCCTGCGGTCCGGTTCAGTCCGGTGCAATCAAAACAGTGCTTGCAGCATTTTGATTGCACCGGACCACAGGCATAATGTGCCTTGCGATCCCGTGCGGCCGGTGGGCGTGGCTACGGTGCATTCACTTCAACTGCCTGCCACGCCCCCTCCTGCCCGACAAAAAAGTGAGCCGGCCGCAATGCGAGGCAGTGCGTTCTGGCCAGAATCGGGCCGGAACGCACTGCATCTAGTGTGCACGAGGCCTAAGCTTCAGCACTGACCGACATGAAGCTTACAAATGGATTAAACCCATGGCTTTAACAGATGAACAAAGTGGCAAGGAAGTGGATGGGGGGTAGCAAAGGTGAATAATAGTGTTTAATCAGATGGGCATTCAAGAGAATCTGAATATGCAAA